ATATTATTTTGCTTCTTATATAGAACTATAGTATCCAAACAAATACAAAATATAAAATTCTTAGATGGAATAATAAATCTTGTTATTAATGTAAGAAATGAAATTTTAGTAGGTAATTACGAATTTTCATATCCAATTTTATTTTTATATTTCTCAAGAAATTGGCTACAATTAATTCTTGAAAGTTATGGTAAAAGCAATGGAAATTTTGAAATAAGTAATTACAAAACATCAAATATCATTTTGCGATAATATTATTGCTGTTCATTATTTTCAAAATAAGATATAATAATTTATTCAATTAAAAGTTTCAAGAGGGTTTAAGTTTCATTTTTATGTTTGAAATTTAATTGAAATATTGCATTTCCATTTTAATTGATACTATTTAATGTATCAAGTTGAATACCATTTTTTAATATTAAGTAGTCATTCTCTTCTGATTCATTAAATAATAAATTCATAATAAATTTAACTTCTTCTTATTAAGAATTATTTTTATGAAGTTTTTGTAATTCTGGATGATTTTTTGATATTTTATATTGCTCTTTTGCTTAAATATTATATTATGCAGGTTACAAACAAATTGGATATATAATGTCATTTTAATAATGTTATAAATCTATTTATTGATTTGTTTTATTGACTTCTTCTTAGTTTTCTTAATCAAAAATAGTTTTCTTTATTTATGCTTCTATTTATGCTCTTATAATGATTTTATCATAAATTATGGCTAATGATAATTTTGAAAGACTTATAAAATGATTCTCTGAATCCCCTTTCACTTTAAATACTGATTACAAACCATTCATTTACTAAACAAATTGGTTGATACATGATCTATTTTTTTTAAAAGCTTTTACTATGATTTCAATACATATCTAAAAAGTAATGTAATTTTAAACATTTGAATCAAGTGTTTTTTAGACTCCTACTAATATTAAATTCAAAGATTCTTTATTTTTTGTTATTAAATTACTTAAAACTGCTAATATCAAATTTACAGTTTTAATTATTAAATTGTCAGCAACCTAATCTAATAAAACATCAAGTAATTTAAGTAATTCCTTTGCTATTGAGTCTAGTTATTATTATTATTCTTTTTATTATTATCTTTATTATTATATTTATTATTTATAAAGCAAGCTTAATACTATAATAATAATTTATAAGTTATAATCAGGTTGGTTAGACATTTCAATTTCAACTCCTTAAAATTGTAGACTTAGGTTAAATAACTTCTAAACAGATAACTATAAAATGCTTAATATTTCTGATTAATTAAGTTGTATCTCAAGTCCAAACAAATTATCAAAATTTGAAAATAACTTAATATTTTCTTTAAGTTGTAGTCTTATTGATTCTTATTAAACTTTGATTTATTGGATAATTAATTCATCACTTTATTGAGTTAATGTAACTTCTGATTCAAATCTGAATTAATTCAATATTAAAGACTCAATAAATTAATCCCTATTTATTATTCGAGGATCATGCCTAAGTACGTAAGTTACTATTTGCCTTTAACACCCCATTTATTCGAGTTGGTTTATTAATTATTGATGGATCCTATTTTGGGAAATGTCATCAAAGTTTTTTAAAAATCTTGGGCTAGAAATAAAACTTGCTTATTATAATAAGAATATCTGAATTTTTTTTATGCTCTCTTGTGATGAATTTTTTGTTATTTATATTAGAGAACCTATATTTTAAATTATTTTAGATATAACTAACAAATCAGTCCCTTATGTAGGAATATTAGGAACTCTATATAAGTATCCTAAAATTTTATTAATTTCATCCCCTAATTATTTTATGAGTTATGTGTTTGAGCTATCAGAGTTAATCATTAAAATATAATTCTATATAACATCTTACAAATGATTTCCAAATTTTGAGTCAATAATAATCTTTTTAATATTTTAATTTAAATTAACTAAATTAAAACTAATATTTATTTTTTTTAGTAATTAAAGAGTCATAGTGGGATGATTATTTGATTCAATAATAAGTCTAATTAATAATCTACTTAATGGTTGCAGATTATTCATATTATTTTATTATTATCTAATCGCTTATCTTAAAATTTAAAACAAAATAATTGAAGCATTTTTATTCTCATTTTCAGTGACTAAAACTATTTCCAATAATGCACAACATTTATCAATAAGTTTAGCAGACTAGTTTTAATTATTGACTAAACTATTATTTTAAAATTAAAGATATGATAGATAATGTAAAATCTCTGACAAACGTGAAGCTATCTAATAAGTTTAGATAGAACAATTTTCTATAAGCATTTTTTAATTGAAATGCAAAAATGTCACTTTTTCTAAAGTAGATCCTAATTCTCTTTCCAATTCATCTATTAATTATAATGCTTTTTCTAGACATTAACTAGAGTTAAAACCCTGAAATATACAAATAAAATACTTGAATAATAATGAATCTATCGAAGTTAGGGATTTTAAATAATTTAGCTAACATATCAAAATATTATTGCTCTTTTAAATATTAACATAAGCTTTGATTTTGTTAATTACATAATTCACTATGAAATAATAAAGTTTATGTTTTTTTCTTTTGAATTTTTTAAAATTATGATTCAAAATCTTAATTAAAGTTTAAATTTTATTGTTAGTTATTTAATTCTTCCAACAATTATCCTAATAATTTTACTAGTATTTCATGTATTTAAATTTTACTCTTATCATTTATGTAATTATACTCATTTATAAATTTTGCTAATTTTAAAAAACTTTAGTCATAAATATTATTTTAAACAATTAAATGATAATTTATTAGGCGATCTAGAAATACTATTGCATAATCATTGAATTTATTAATTTTTTCTCCTTTTGTTATATTTGCATAAAAAGATATTATATCTTAAATTAATTCTGGATCTATTTCTTCAGTACTCATTTTTAGAATGATTTCATTTAAGACATCAGGTAAGTTAGAACTAACAATTTTATCAATTTCTTAAAAATTTGCATTAAGTAAATAAGAAATTAATCGTAAAGCTTGGCGAACAGTCGTAGTAAATTATCCTGGCTACTGCAATATATTTGCAATATAGTCTAAAACATGAGAATCTAAAAACTTTTTAGTTAGTTAATGTACATTATCTATATTATTGTTATTAATCTAAAATCTATCTATAGAAATTACTTATAAATTTATAGCCTGAATGCAAGAATTCATAATAAGATCTGCGTCTGTCTCATTTATTTATACATAACCATTTTGAGTTGGTTTTTACAAGCTAAACACTTGATTAATGTAATATTCAACAATATTCGTAAGTTCATCTTATCTCTAGTTATTTAAATGTGGATCATAATTTCTAATCAACTAACTTAGGAATAATACTGTTGCATCTAATTATTTAGGTGTGAACAACATTCTATTGTCTTAAATATTTAGAGGTCTCATTATTTTATTGATTATTTAATTATAATCATCCTAGGAAAATTATCTATCTTCAAAAATTGAGAAGATACTACAAGTTAAGGATTCATCTCTAACTAAATTTTCAGAAAGAATTTGAGGGTTATACTTTAAGGGATATCCTTAAATTACTTAATCTTATGCTATTTGTTCCATAGATAAAACATCTGAAAGTAATTTTACAAATTAATTATCTTAATCTAAATGTTAATTATTTATTGAAATAGTTTCAAGTACTTCTATTAGTAAAAGTGGATCTATGGTTTCAAGTTTAAATAAATTAAAATAATTGATATTTCTTTCATCTCCAATAATTGAATTAAATAATTTTGCTATTTATTATTATGCATTAATTCTATTAATTATTATTCTTTGTTCCGATATCATAATGGATGCTTATAGATGTAATTTGATTATTATATTTTTGGTTTGTTATGGATTTTTTTCTAATCCTCTTTTTATCAGGATTCTGTATTTTACTATTTCAATTAAGGGTGATAAAGGTTAATTTCGCTTATTTAATAGATTTCTTGACAAATTGAGAGCTGATATTGAATCGTCATCTACTATTTATACTATCTAAAAAAATAAATTTACAATTAATACTTTGTTTTAGAATTAATCTTATAATATGTTATTATTATGATTTCTATTTTTACATATATCTTCATAACTTTCCTCTTATTAAGCTGGTTCATTATACTCAATCTCAAATTATAAAGGGGTTCTAAGATCCATTCTAATATCTCTGTATTTTGGATCGTCTTAATAATAATCAACCAATTTTATCTTATTTTTGGATAAATAATTGATGTGTTCATATAAAATTTTTTCTAGATATATTAATCTTGGGAAATGATTTTTTTAAATCTCTTAAAGATGGATAATAGGTCGATTTAAAATCTAAAAGGCCTTTTCATAAATAATTAAATTGTCTGTATATTCAATTATCTTAAGCAGTCGCTCTTAAGAATAAAATATATCTCTAAAATTTTATTATTATCTATATTTACTCAAATAGATTAGATCTTTTTAAGAATTCGTAGATAAATTCCAAAATCTATGAGCAGTCATATATGGAATTATTTTATATCTCTATCACTATTTACTTTAAATTTTCATCAATTTTATTCAACATATATCTGAACAGATACCTACTTCTAAAAATTTACTGGCATCTATTACCATCATTTACAAGTTTTCTTAACTCTTCAATGTCAAAAGAATCTATCACTTTTATGATCTAAAATTTATTTCTAAATTACTTATTTCATTTCTTCTGTTATTTCATTTGGTATTTCTTCAGTCTCTGCTTCAAACAACATGCGTTGATTAAGCATAATTTTTATTATATGAGAATAAAAATTAGTTAATGAAATTTATAGATACTTTTCCTTAAATAATGTACAAAATTTATAGATGTTCAAAACTTTAGTGTATTTATTTTAATAATATCTTGCTTAAATTGAAAAATTATAAAGAGAAATAGGTTTGAATGATATGATAATAAAATTTGGTTGATTAGACAACTATTAGAAATAAATAAAAAAATAATTGAAAAAATATTTATTAAACTTAAATAAGACTAAAACCTTAAAATATCCCTCTATTAATTTATCTCTTCTATGATGGATTCTAATTTATTTACTTAAATGAATAGAGAACAATTATTCTCTATAAAAGTTAAGATATTTTCAAAACTATAGAAATTTAGAAAAAAATTATATTATATGGAATTAATGATAAGTTATTAAAAGTAATTATTATTTAAGTGTGATAATAAACATCCCAGTATTTATTTTTAAAGATTGGAATATGGAAAAGTTATTAATCAAAAGGATATTTTAGTTAATAGGTTTTGAAGGATTAGCATTGATTGTGATGAAATTTATAAATGTTAAATTAGTTTAGAATTTTTTATTTTTATGGTCAAAAATATAAATTCTTTTTCAAATCGAATAGAATAGATAAATCTTTAGATTATTTTATTTCTGAAATATTATAATGTTTTAGTTTGTGTTTATTAGTTCGATCAATTATGACAAAAATTATAGAAAAAAGAAAGTATTTGGAATTTAGTTAGGTATGAAGTTTGGATTTATAAATTAGATCATTCATCTATTTTCTTTTGGTCCTTGCATTAGGTATGATTGTATTTATAAAAAAATATCAATAAAGATCAGATTATCCTTTCATTATCTATTTTTGATTTTTGTAATGGATAATATATGAGTTTGACTCCTAGTAGATTAATAACTATAGTGTTTTTAAGCTTTTGTTTTTAAAAAGGGATCATATTATGATAAAATAATACTTAAAAAAATAGATTTGGTTAGTATATAATGTAACTATTTAATTGAAAGGCTTAATTTTTTTATTATTTAAAAATATCTGGCACTTTTAGTGGAAACACAATCCAAAGATACTTTGGTTTCTAATTATAAAAATTTAATTTAATAATAAATTATTTGTTAATATAATAATTAAATTTATCAATAATAAAAATAAAAATAAATAATTATTCCCTATTTTTCTTAATTCTGGTTATATAATGTGAAAACTCATAAAATTTGTTGTTATAAAAGCAAGAAATGAAATAACAATTTTTATGTTCAAGATATTTTTTTTTAAATTATATTTTTTATTTATTTAAGGAAATAGGTGAAGTTTAACATCAAATAATAGTTATTTTAATTAGGGATTTGGAAAAGTAAGTTAAACACATCAAAATAAAATATAATAAAAAGAAAGTAGATATAGTTCAAAAATTAACTTTTTAATTAATTAATGGAAAGAAATTAAAAAAATAGATATATATTAACAGACATAAAGTATATTTATAAAAATATATACTTCACTTAGATGATTAAAATAATTATTATTAAAAACTCAATAAAATCTTAATAATTCGATCACTAAACTTAAAAGATTTAAAAAAAATCAGTTTAAATAGTCTTTTAAAATTATGAGAGCAATATTTATTTCGAAGTGATTTTTTATGGATGTGGTTTAAATGAAGAAAATATCAATTCAAAAAGACTTGATGATTGTAAATTAGGATTAGCATAATAAAAATATATTAAATTATTAGGAGCTAATGATAAATAAATTGAAATCATTTGCTCTTAATTTCTAAAATAAACAAGAATTTTATTTGAATTAAAAATATTTTATTGTAGATAACGCTGATATTATGGGAGATGATATTGAGTTTTTTTTATTTTTAGTTAGTATATGCTTTTTGAATTTCAATATATATATTATATGCCATTAATAATAAAATTAAAATATTCCATCATCATATCTCTAAAAATTATGTCATCATTTAATAATTACTCTGAAAAATTTTTTGAATTATCTTTTGAAGATTATTTAGCATAAACTAATATAAAAATTTAAGTAATACAAGAAATTGTGATTTCAAAGTAAAGATATAATTCAATTTAAAAGGATGACTAAAAAAAATTAAAAAAATTTAGTAATAAGTAACTTAAGTAACCAATTAAAATTTTAAGGAAAAAAACAACAATAATTAGATGATCCTTGGAATAGAGCAATATAATTCACCTGTTGTACAGAATGTTGTGTTAATGAAAAAAAAGAGAACAACTTTGACTCATTAAATTTGAATGAAAAAAATCATAAAAAAAAGCTACTAATTTCTTGTAAGAGACAGAAGTTTTTTTAAATTTGAATTCAAATGAATAAAATAATGGGACTAATAATAATCTTGTTGGTTATTTCTGTAAAAAATTGTAAAAATAGAAGAATCTTAACTATAAAAGTTTTAGCCGTATCTCTATAGCAAAAGCAAGATAAATTGTAATGAATTGAATCGCTAACTGGCTGATATAGTTATTTGTGGTTGAAAAAACAATGCAAGCATTAAATAAATTGATAAAGCTTTCATCAACACACATAAATAAATATTTTCTTTAATAGATAAGTGTAAAAATTAAAGGGATTTTTGAATACCTTTTTGGGTCTTTATATTAATTAACTAGAATTTATTTGTATTAAAATAAAAATAAAAATAAATAATTATTCCCTATTTTTCTTAATTCTGGTTATATAATGTGAAAACTCATAAAATTTGTTGATTTAAATAATTTATTTTGATGAAGGCAATTATTTTAATATTAAATTTTCTTAATTAATTGAATCTTGATACTTTCACTATAAATTTAGAACTTATTCACAAAATCTTCTAATAATAAAAATATGACTAAATAAACTTAAAAAATAAAGGAACCAAATTTTATTAATTCAATAAAATTCTTTAATGTTTAAATTTATTAATTATGCATTAGATCTTGAGAATTAAAAAATTCTATATTCTAAAATCTTAATATATTTATTTAAATTTATGAATAATTAAAAGCAATAAATAATTGTTTAGCTATTTGGAAAATGGTACGATTTAACAGAGTTTTCTGAATATCATCCAGGAGGAAAGGAAATATTAGAAAAACTAAATGGAAAAGATGGGACAGATAATTTTTATGAGGCTGGACATCTATCTAATCATGCTGTATTGCAACATTTATCAAGACTTCCAATCATAGAGAAACCAAAACTATGAATAAATATATAATATCATTAATTAATTCAATCAAATATGGGTTTACGAATAATTTTTATAGTGTTCCCTATTTGCTAATTCATTTTTTATTATAAAAATTAAGTTTATTAGCCAAAAATTTTTTAAGGAGATTCTTAAAAGTATAATTGTTTTGGTTAGATGATGTGTTGATTATTGTATTTAAACACTGAAGTTGATTAGGTTTGACAATGATTAAGATTTTATTTGTTTAAATCATATTTGGATATAATATCTGAGGGAGTACGTATTAGACTACTTCTTCCTGCTAGATGTTAATATTTCTTTCGAATCTCTATTGGTGATGATTCATGACAGGAATATTAACGATTAATTTAAAATCTCTCTTTACACCAACTACAGATTTAATTAATCAATTAGACTGATCTAGAATCATTATGTTCTCCTTATATTTTTATAAGATCTTTTAAACCATTATGTTACTAATATAATCCAATTGTATTTTTAGATTTTATTAATGTATCTTAATCACTACAAATGTAGAGAGTTGGTACACTAGAATCTGCCCTTTAAATTTTGATATCTTCAAATTTGAAATTGCCTTATGATTCAATTTTTCCTAGATTATTTATATTTACTTATACCTTTTAGAAGATATAGTACACTTTTTATTATCAACTTAGGTAACGAAGTGGACTTTTAAATCATCTTTACACATGCCTTATTGAGATCAGTAAAACATGAATCCAATACATATCCACTTACATAAGGTTGTTTTTTTAACTAGATGGTAGTCGCTCCCAAAGACCTCCCCCATAAAATAAACTAATTTTATTAGAATCTTTTTTTGATATCTAAAATAATGCATGTAATGTCATTTTGTTCTAAATACCTATTTAAATAAGTTATGTTACCCAAATGTTATGAGATCTCCTTAACTATGACCACATCCTTGAAAATCAAAAGTGCAAAAATTGAGATTATATTAAGCTGCAATATGAGCATATTTGACTCCTTCTACTTGACAACCATTAAAACCATGACAATAAATTATGCAGCAATCACTTAATGGGTTTATTTGAAAAAAAGAGCACTTTAATTGATGACCCTAACGATTTATAATACTAATTTCATGTTTGAACAATGTTCCATTTGCAAGAGAGAGTCTTTCAGGACCTTAAATATTCTTGATTAGTACCCAAGTCAAACATTTGGTATTCTAATCTACGAGGCCTTAAAAATTTTCTACATTCTTATTCAAAATACATTGATATTAAATTAATATTATTTATTTTTCATGTAATTTTTAACCTATATCGGATATCAAACTCAGAAATCAATCATAATAAAAGACAATCAATTCTTTTTGAATTTTATTCCTTCTTTTGGATCCTCCAAACCATAGTACAAAAGAGCTTCTTCATTAATTTTTAATTCTTAATACATTTTTCTGATATTCCTTTATATTTGAATCGATTTTGCATATGTTATTTCTAAATTAAAGCTATTATGTTTTGTGTAAAATAAGAAACTTGTATTTATTTATTGAAATCACCATATAGAATAAACAACTTTTTCAAATGATTTTATTTAATAATTCATTAATAAATAGTTAATGTGTAACTATAAATAAAATCTGCAGATTTTATTATTCAATTTTAATATAATCTATTAGTATTGATAATTTTTTTTGTGTTACATTATTTTTTAATCTTCATATACAAGTTTTTGTATGTTTTAATAAAATTGATATTATACAATTTTTGAAGTAGATTAAATAATAAAATATAATATAGAGAGGAGAACTTAAATTAATTAGCAGCTATGTATTTTTTTAAGAGATGATTCTATATTATTGGATAATCATATTTAAATCTCTTCTGTAAATCATTAGATTTCTTTATCTTTTTATTAATGATTAGTTTTATTAATAAAAGTAATTAAAGGTAATAAATTTTTGAATAATTTTGTATTGAATAAATAATTAGGATTTGTAATTCAATAATAGTAATTTCTTGCTTAAATTGGAATATTATATGTTAACATATTTCATTGGAATATTTTAAAAGTATTTATCAATATATAAAAAATTAATAATAAATGCACAATTACAACGTCGATCATAAATATAAGTTTTAGACCCGTATAGGTAATTGGTTTGAAGAATGGGAATTAGATGAAACAAAGTGATAATATGTGTATAAATTATTTAGGAAAAAAGACTATTTAAAAAATAGATAAAATGGATAACTGGCAAGCATAGTGAAAGACACAAAGACTAATTTCAGTTTAAGATTAGCATCTTTATCTTTTCCTTAAGATGATTATATCCATTTTGGGTTTCATTTGATGCTTTAAAATTTAAAGACTTAAGGATTTTTGTCAATAGATATTTAAGAGAGATTGAAAATAGGAGAGGAAGCATACAATATTACAACTGCATAAACTTCACAACCTACAGTGAGATCAGTATTTGTTATAATTCCTTATACTAAAGAACCTAATTACTATGGAGATGATATATTACATTATGGATAACATTTCAGAATTGTGGCAAATCCTAGAATATCTAATAATAAAACATTTTATCTACATTCACTTCCATAAACACCAACAAGATGTGCTAAGATATCTAGAAAATAGGAAGTATGTGCAATAGAGAGTGATGTATTCAATACAGTTTGGAAATTGGAATATGCTGATCCAAAAATAAGATTTGAAATGGAAGGATAACCAGTTAGATCAGATGATACTGTTTTGATTAAACATTCTTTTACTTAACATTGGTTAGCCAGTGATGATATTATATATTAAAATGATTTTGGAAGAGAAAGAGAAGTTTTTGTGCATTCTTATTAATGTTTAAATAAAACTTAAAACTTAATTGCTGAAAAAGAAGGGAGAACTACTATTGATATTCCTTTAAGAAATCAAGAGTAACAGAATAGGTTATTTTAATAGACCATAAAATTTATGGAAATTTTAGGTGGCTAAAAATAAAAGTGAACAATTTGATGAATCTGTAATGGATGACAATAGAAATGTAAAGAATTTAATGATAAGAGTAAAATAATAAATTACAGGAAAAGGAGCCTATGGATTAAGAGGATTAACAAAAATATTTATGGAAATGGATTAAAATAATAGTTATAATATATAAAATATCATTTTAGATGGTGTTGTTGAATATAATGATTTTAAATGGGGATTGAGGAATTTTGGATTGAATCTATCAGAAGATGAGACCAAAATGATTTTCTAAACATTTGATAAAAATGCCAATGGTAAAATTGAGTTTAATGAGTTTTTGGATGCTTTTAGAGTAAGTATGTAATTTAAATAAGTTATAAATGAGTGAAAAAAGATTGTATTATGTATAAAGAGCATATGCATCGATTGAGCAAAGGGCAGGTAAAGTCACTTTAGAAACTATGGGTCGATTGATTAATGTAAAGGAACATCCAGATGTTTTGAAAGGATATAAAACTGAAAGACAAGTATTCTAAGACTTTGTATCTAATTGGAATAAAGCTAATCCTGATAAAGTGATACAATTTTAAGAGTTTGGAGAATTTTATTAAGTAATGACTGTATGTTTATAGTATAGGATGTATCAACTTCTGTGCAGTAGGATGAAACTTTTGAGGCTATATTAAAGAAATCGTGGAATTTATGATAATTATTAATAATACATAATGAGCATTAGATTATAAGACATGAAGTTATTTCTTGTTAAAGACGACTAACCAGTCAAAATAGAATTGAAATAACAAGATGATATTCTATTCAACCTTGTTACTAAAGCAGGTTTTAATACCAAAATAGCTTTTAGATCGATCACCAATCAATATTTTAGTTCCAGTAATTGAAGGCAATTAACCTATTACAATTAAAGTAAATGATTACAATGCTGAAATCCTTCCAGACAATCTTGAAATGTAGTCAACATATAAATTGCTACTTGAAAATGGGTAACTTAATTAAGAACCTATTTTACCTGGAGATACTTTTGCATTGTCATTCAAAGTTCGAAGTGGAAATACAAATACTTAAGGAATAACAGGAAATTCAGTAATGAATGGATCAACCCTATCAACTTTATAACTATCCTAATTGAGACACAAATTGGTTGAATAAGGTAAAGGAACATCAATGTATTAATCTGCTTCATCTCTCAGACACAGTATACCTGAAGTATCTTTTTCCAAAGCTCAGAGGTTAGTATTATCATTATTATTATAGATTCGATAAAAACTTAACTCTCAGAACTGAATTCAATTATAGTATTCCTGATACTATAGGATCATAAGGCAGATCAACTGGTTTTGGATATGGCAATAAATTCATTTCTCCTTTATATGTTCAAAGGAATGCTGAACAGAATCCACCTCCTGATGCATATTTCAATGAAGAATCCAAATAACCCACCAAATATCGAAAAACAAATTGGTCTTAAAGTGATAGATTCAAAATGTCATAAACTGTTCAAGGACCTAGTCCTAATTCCTATGATGTTACATAAATTATTGGTTAAAATAAAGTAAATTAAAAAATGGATAATTTAATTATAGCCCTCTTGTACTATTGGAGCTAGAATAAAGCCATTAGCTACATTTTAAGAAAAGGTTCCTGCCTCTAATACTTATGAGATTAAAACTTAAATTATTGAGCCTTCAAGATTTAATAAGATAACACTTGGATATGGTAAGAAATCTGATTTCACCAAAAATGATAAAACTCCTGGACCTGGTACTTATGAATAACCTTCAGTTTTTAAAAATATGTCTTCTTCTATATTAAATAATGGAACATTAAGAACAAATGTAATGAGAAAATGATATTAAGTCTAAATTTAAAGATTTCATTTTATTATTTATATTTAATGAAATATTTTTTACTTAATTGATTTTTGCATCACTCCATTACCTATTTATTATTTATAATGCCATTAAAAAGATAATAATATATATCAATTTGATAAGTTTTTTCAATATTTATAAGAAATAAGTTAATATGCTGTTTTATTGGACTTAATAGCTCTATCAATTTATTTTACATTTCCTCAAATGTTCTATTAATAATGTATGGAATATAATTTTATAAGTTTATAATTTTAAGAAATATAAATACATATAATTATTTGAGCTCAGTTAGACAAACTTAAGCCATACAAAATTCATTAAATAATCTACTCTTTGAAATTATCATTCTTCAAATGACATAATTTGATTATGTAATTTAAATATATTATCATAATCTTAGAATCGATTAACAAAAGTTTGATATGATTTTTAAAGCATCTTATCCTATTTCTAATAAATATGGCAGATAGAAGAAGATACATGATGTTATTGTTTGCTTAAGTATTTACAAAGCTCAAAAATTTGGAAAATTCATTAAAAAAATATGAATTCTATAACTCTAAAAGTATTGCTGCAAGTATTAGAATTATATAGAATGTATATTTCCATCTATAACAATTGATCTGGAACCCATAATTTTGAGTGCAAAGATAAATATCATTACTTTGAGATTCTGATGTATTGCAAGAGTCTTTTATAGACATTTTATTTATAAGTTCTCCTGGGATCCCATTAGATTATTACAATTCTATTTTTCATCAGAATGAAATCATTTATTTGATATTGACAATTTCTCTAATTTATTATATTATCGGGATTCCCTTTGTAAGAAATATGTACATTTAGAATAGAACAAGAGTAAATGTAATAAAAATATTAATTATTTCTATGTGATGTAATTAAATTTAATTAGAAGAGTTCACCATGAAAATTAATAGAAATCTAAGTTCTTGATAATTATGAATATTATAATGATAGAAAAAAATTCATTTTAATAAAAAATTATTATCATAAATTGTACTTGTTCCTAGTCTGCATCAAATTCATATCGAAAATAGAAATAGAAATAGAAATTTTGATTACTTAGAAATCATGTATAAAATTTTTAATAGAATTACTATAAATTTGTTATAATAATAGTTTGAAGATAAAAAATATTTGTACTCTTTATTTAATAAATATGGAATGTAAATTGCTTTATATTTGGAGAACAGGATAAATTCTTTGTATAAATAATGTTTTTGTTAGAGTATTTAATAGAATTTATAAATAAATTATTGAATATTATAATAATTATCAAAATTTACTAATGCAATTTAAAAAATAGTGGTAAACAAAAGAGAATAAACTAAATTTGTAATTAATTGAAGATTTTATATCGCAATTTAAAAAGTAATTAAAATAGTATTGCAAAAAAATACAATCCATCTTAATATATTTAGATTCATTTAATTAAAAAAGCAGGTTTAATATTACAAGGGATAGAATTTGTTAATCTATTACAAAGTTATTTATATTTTGCTAAAATTTGGAATGCATATTAATTATATTACAAAAAACAAATTGATTGAGTTCAATAATGATTTTATACAATATTTCAAAAGGAATTGGAAGATGAAGAATATCAGCAATATATATAATTGGAAGATTGATTATCATTGTTTAGCTCTATTTTGAATATTAAATAAAGCATCATTTTTAATGGTGGTCAAAAAATAATAATTAAAAAAAATCCTTTTATATAATTGATTCCTAAGACAATCAGATTGTTAATTAGATAGTATTATATAAGGTAGTTTATTAAAAATGATAGAATTTGGGGTGTAGAAAGATGCAAGAAAATTAAATGATTGAAATTTAATTAAATCTAAATAAATGTCAACACAAAAATCTGAAAAATCTATAAAAAATCATTAATAGGATGAAAAGTTGAAGAAATTGTTTATGAAGATAACTCTTAATTCATTACGCAAGTATTTTAACACTAAATAACTTCCATATCATCCTTTGATTACTTGCGTAAGTATTAAACCTGGATGCATCAATCGATGTGCCTCTCTTTAATCATATCCTAATTAATCTGTATGGAAATCTCTTCTAGAGTTACCTAATGAAATGCAATAAGAAATTGTTGAGTTTCTAATAAATGAGTTGAATGCCAAATAATAAAAATTCTCATCAAAATTTTTAATAGAAGGCTAAGAAAGGATAAGGAATAACTTTGACTTTTAGAGCTTCTACAAAGAGCCAATTAAGCCTGACGTCCTACCAAATGATAATTCATCAGATTCTAAAAAAATCGAAGACATTGAAATTAAGGATGATGGAACTAAGATAAAATAAAAGAAATGGTTCAAAGGGGAAGACTTTGTAAGTGAATCAAAGTAAATTGCAACATAGATGAGATTATGTAATCAAATTCCTCCATTAGTAACAGTCAATTCAATTCATTATCACAAAATGAGAAGTCTTCTAGAAAAAATTAAGGAATAGAAATTTAAACAGTCAGAAGAAATGAAAATCTTTGTAGAAGAACTTGAAAAGTTTATTTAAAAGGACCCAAAATCTGTGGAACTTAAAAAAAAGAAGAAGATTAAAAAATCTAATGATAAAAAGGATCATCAACATGATGATTAAGAATCCATTTAAAGATCAAAATCACTTTAAGATGAAGTTAAAGTTGAAGATAATTCAGCCCAAGATTTCCTTGATCAATTCAAAATGAAAATTAAATAGATTGAACCTGGGGTTGTTTTATACCTTCCATAATATAAAAAAATAGATCCTTAATACCATCAATATTACAAAAATCTAGAAGATAGTTATTTTAAAGATTTGTATTATAAGGTAAAGGTTGATGAAATAGTACTAAATACTAAAAATATCTTAAGGTTCGCCAGACAAGTTTTTCAAAATTTAGATTTTATTATTCCATACAAGCAAGAAAACCTAAATTCTTTGAAATGAATATGCATATTTACAAAATTTAACTTATTTCTACATAAAAATTTTAATAGTTTTTAAATAATACTATTTTTAATTATCAGTTTATAATTTTTTAATAATCCTAATCTTAATTATTAATTTAAAATATACTTGATTTCCTATTAAGTTAGTATTAATTATCCAAAAATTAGATTTATAGTATATTATTATAATTACTATCTTAATAGAAATTCTAAATACCTGTATAATTGTCTGTATTCAAAAAAATATATATGTATAATTGTTGTCCAATTTTTGTTAGACTAAAGATTTCTTTAAGGAACTTGTAAATAAAGAATAATACATCAAAATATAGAACTAATTAATATATAACAGATCAATAATTTGAATTATTATAAACTTTGAGTTAGACTTGTAGGATTAATTAAAGCAAAAATTTACAGTTAATAGAATTTGTTAAGTATTATCAATATTTTAAGTTTTCATTTTATATAAATAGAATAGAATAATAATGTTNGCCAATTAAGCCTGACGTCCTACCAAATGATAATTCATCAGATTCTAAAAAAATCGAAGACATTGAAATTAAGGATGATGGAACTAAGATAAAATAAAAGAAATGGTTCAAAGGGGAAGACTTTGTAAGTGAATCAAAGTAAATTGCAACATAGATGAGATTATGTAATCAAATTCCTCCATTAGTAACAGTCAATTCAATTCATTATCACAAAATGAGAAGTCTTCTAGAAAAAATTAAGGAATAGAAATTTAAACAGTCAGAAGAAATGAAAATCTTTGTAGAAGAACTTGAAAAGTTTATTTAAAAGGACCCAAAATCTGTGGAACTTAAAAAAAAGAAGAAGATTAAAAAATCTAATGATAAAAAGGATCATCAACATGATGATTAAGAATCCATTTAAAGATCAAAATCACTTTAAGATGAAGTTAAAGTTGAAGATAATTCAGCCCAAGATTTCCTTGATCAATTCAAAATGAAAATTAAATAGATTGAACCTGGGGTTGTTTTATACCTTCCATAATATAAAAAAATAGATCCTTAATACCATCAATATTACAAAAATCTAGAAGATAGTTATTTTAAAGATTTGTATTATAAGGTAAAGGTTGATGAAATAGTACTAAATACTAAAAATATCTTAAGGTTCGCCAGACAAGTTTTTCAAAATTTAGATTTTATTATTCCATACAAGCAAGAAAACCTAAATTCTTTGAAATGAATATGCATATTTACAAAATTTAACTTATTTCTACATAAAAATTTTAATAGTTTTTAAATAATACTATTTTTAATTATCAGTTTATAATTTTTTAATAATCCTAATCTTAATTATTAATTTAAAATATACTTGATTTCCTATTAAGTTAGTATTAATTATCCAAAAATTAGATTTATAGTATATTATTATAATTACTATCTTAATAGAAATTCTAAATACCTGTATAATTGTCTGTATTCAAAAAAATATATATGTATAATTGTTGTCCAATTTTTGTTAGACTAAAGATTTCTTTAAGGAACTTGTAAATAAAGAATAATACATCAAAATATAGAACTAATTAATATATAACAGATCAATAATTTGAATTATTATAAACTTTGAGTTAGACTTGTAGGATTAATTAAAGCAAAAATTTACAGTTAATAGAATTTGTTAAGTATTATCAATATTTTAAGTTTTCATTTTATATAAATAGAATAGAATAATAATGTTCAGTCAGTTTAAATTTTAATAGTAGTTTAAAATTCTATAAACCATATATTTTTTAATAGAATTTAATTGTATAAATTAGAGAAATTTGTATTACGAGAATCATTGAGCAATTCTTAAATAATATTTAAATAACTAATTAAAAATTCAAAAAATATTTATTGATTTAATATAAAGAGTTTTCTATTTATAATATTAATTTTAATTTATTTTTTATAAAACCTTATTCAGAATACAGTTTATTATTATCATCTAAGTGTAATGAAGAATTATAAAATAATAAGATCTTGTTAAAATTAATATTAAATACTTAGGTGTTCAAAAATTTTGGAAAGTTACCAAATTATGTATTAATAAATTAATAAATGTGTCAAGTATTCAAAGACCTTATAATTTATATATTCCCCTTAATTAATGCTATAGTATAATAATAATTAAAGAATATCTAGACTAGAAAGTTTAATTATAGGATAAATTTTAAAATCATTATAAGGAAATTCAAGTGATTGGATGTAGACTTTTAGTGTTATTCAAGATCAAGAAATTTAAATATTCATATATATAGAAGGTTTTGATGATAAATAAAATTTTTAATCATAATTATTAAAGAGAGTAGAATATAACAATATTTTATTTTTAAATTATAATTTATACTGCAGTTTAATAAATTATGATGATTAAGAATTATCTAATATAGATTATTTTTTTAAATTAGGTAAATTTTAATTGATATTTATTATTACTGGATATTATTGATTTTAGGTTGTAAAAATAATTAAAATATTTATAACCAAATTTTTAATTGTAAATTTAATTTAGGCGCACATATTATAATTAAAATAGTGCGGTTAATGAGAGAGGAAGAAATAATAAAATAATATGTAGGATTTCTTATTTATAAGTGATTGCATGTAACCTATTATTAAGAAGGTAAAACTAGACCTTTTTAACTCATTTGAAGATGAAACGATGTCAGCTATCATTAAAAAAGAGTAGCCATCTTTTATACCCTTTTTAAGCTTAAGATAAAAATTTGGAATACATCAAAAAGGTGGGTTTTATCCACTTCCAAAAAAATATGCATGTCTTTTAGATTTATGCAAGAAAATTGAAATGAATTACTTAAGAAATTAATGTTAAATATAGTTTACTGTACAAAATAATTTTACAGAAATCATTTAAGTTCTTCAATTGTTAAATTTGGATCCTAATTTATACAAATTGAAAGTGATTTAGGATGGGATAGTTATTTAGCATCCTTTATAAAATAATTTTAACAAGAATGATAATAAAACAATTGTAAAATGTAGTTAAGAATAGAAATAATTATCTGAATAAATTGAGAATAGAATAAAATTATTAAGATAAAAATTAGATTAATAAGTATAAATAAAACATAAAGAGCATTTAACAATAAATAATTGTGAAGATTTTGAATAATTCGGATCTTAATTTAAAATCTATCATAATGACTTTGATTTGAATGATTCACCTGATGTAAATCCAATAAAATTGAAAAAACAAATATTTTCTAAAGAATTAATATAGTTTCATATTGATATATTAAATTGTCTAATAGAACACTACGATAAAAGAGGTGTTAGTTTCATGTTTTATGATAATATAGTTACAATACTTAGTGTTCATTTGAATAAAGTTAAAAGTGAAATAGAAAAAGGATTAAAAAATATAATGAATTTGATACCAGATAAAATGAACATACTTATGGATCATATAAATAAATAAAGATGGATGATTTAGTTAGATAGAGCTTCTTTATTGTAATTAAATAAGTAAATTATATTGAATTAATTTTTGTGTTATTGATATTTATAATAAAACACAATAAATTATATTAAAAGTTTTATACTTATAAATTGTTAAATACAAAATAATCTCATCCTTTATAAGTTTAAGTATATAAAAATATTAATAAATAATAATATTAATATATATTCTAATCTCTCATATTTTATTCTTATCTTCATTATTTAGTAAATAAAAATAGATAAAATAATATTTTTGATTATAAAGCAATTTTTATATAATAACAATATAAAACGGATTAATAATATAAAAAAATGAAATATATAGCTATCCTTCTTTTAGTATTGGTATTAACAAATGGAGCAAATATTAGAAAACAAAAACAAAATAAAGGAACTAAACATACTTAAGATTTAGTATAAATTGAGTAACAAATTGTTAAAATTGCATTATAGATCTGAAAATGTTGGAAAGTCTTATGATTTAAGTAATAATGTTGGAGTTATATCCTCATAAGAAATGGTTGTTAATGCTTTAACAAATTAGGACAGAATTGAAAAGGCTGAATCTAAAGAAAGAAATGCTATTCATAATGCTTTGAATAAATCTCATAAATCTTTTGTATAAGTTAGTGATAATGAAAATTAAGTTTATGTAGAAGAAACTTTAGATTAAACTCCTAAAAAAGAAATTAATTTTGCAGATTTATTTACAAATGATGGTTCATCACCTGATATGGGAAAATAAGCTCTTATTGAAGATTCTCCATCTCCTCCTATGGTTTATATTCAATAAGATGATAATTTAGATTATGTTAGAGCAATTGATAAATTAGATTTGTTAGATGAAAATGGTTAACCACTTTAATTACTTCCAGAAGAATTATCACTTTTGGAAATGTCTTAATTTGAAAGTAGATTCTAATAAACTGAGACTCCATAAATGGAATAAGCACCAAGTTGGAATTTAGAAATTGCATATGAAAAGACTCCAGGTTAAAGTGAATTATCACCAGAAGAATTATAAAGACAAACTGATCAAATGGTTGATAGTTTAAGAGGAGAGCTTGAAAATGAAGATATTTGATCAAGCAAATATAATAAAATAAATATATAATGAAGAAACATTTTAACTATGAAATTTCTTTTGAGTAGCTAAATGGTAGAATGCCTCCTACAAATACACCTTGTGATAAATAACCAATCATACATTTCGATTCTAATGTACATGTATTTTGGCCTAGTGATCAAAAATTTTATACATCATTAGAATTGAAAAATTTCGTCAAATAAGACTTCTTCAATCATCCATTAGTATAGCATTTAAAACCACTGATACATCGGAAACCAATTCAAAAATAATATCTAATTAGACAGTTTGAAGATCCATTAGTAGTAATGTATTTATTTTTACAGTCTTAAGATGGAAAAGAAAAGAGAAATACTTAAAAATTTATCATGGTTTGCTAGTATAAAAAATAAATCTAATGAATTTGCTAAGACTCTTAAATTTAGACTAAATCAATTATCATAATAAAATTATAATTAGATCAGCAAAATTATTATAGAACTACTTACATAAAAATAGTAAATAAATTATAATAACATATTTAGAAAAGATGAAATAATCACATTCATTGAAGAATTAATAAATATAGCTGCAAATTAAAATAAATTTCGTTAATTGTATAGTTAATTAATGAAAGAAATAATTAAAAATACAAATTCTTATAAATTATTAGATAGTTATTTAAATAATTTTATTTATAATTAAGAAAATTATGAAGACTTTCAAAATTCTTATAATAAAGATGACGAAATTGTAGTATTGACTAAAAGAAAATAAAATTTTATTGGAAGTAATATATTTTATTATTTAGAATATAAATTTATTGTTCATCTTTATAAAGATAGAGTTATTAAAATATATTACATAAATAATTCTATCATCTAATTACAAAATAGATTAATCTTTCTTTTAGACAATCAACATTTATAACAATTCTTTACAGATGAAATTGTTGAGTCTATACTTGATATTATTTCAACAAGTATCCATAATTAAAATAATAGTGAAGAATGATCTATTTATTAAATAATATAGAGAGGATACTTAATTAGAATAGGATTTCATTACATTTTTAAAATAAAAAGAATATGGTTTATGGAATAAAGATTAATTTTGTTTTTCTCCAAAAGGAATTAGAATTCTGTAAATTAATAATAAATTATTTTAGATTATGTTGGATTGAAAAACGAGTTTCATCATAAAGATTAAAATTATTGATTGGTAATTTATTGGAAAAAATAGATAATAATTGGAAAAATAAAAAATAAAATTCTAAAAAGAAAATAGATAATTCTGAATCAAGTGATTCTGATATTGAAGAATTACCATTAAAATAAAAACCTTCTATTAAATTAAATGTTTAAAATTTAGATTTAATAAATGAAGAAGAAAATGATTTTTCTGTTTAAAAATAACCTACAATTAAATAGATTCATTCTAATTTAGAAAGAATATTTTTAATCAAATAAACTTAAGACTATTATTAAGAAATATTAAAATTATATTCTTCAATCAAATAATCAGAATTAATAATTTCATTTTGGAATTATTATTTAAAATTAATAACTAGAATAACTTCTGATAATACTTAAAAAGTTGAGTATGCCTACCAAATTTATTCAAAAACAAATGAAGATTTCATTAAAGAATTAATCTTATAGCAAATTCAAATTAGATTATCTGAAGTAATTTATGATATCATTGACTCAAAATTTGGAGTTAATTTTATGATTAATTTTCTAAAACCATTTATTGAATAAGATATTAAATAACTTCAACTCTTTTTGTAAATTGAAATTAATGAAGAAACTCAAGACTTTTTGGTTTTATTAATACCAAAATTAGTATCTGCTTAAAATGTATTTATTATTATTTATTATATTAGATTTAAATTGTTGAAAATATAGAATTCTTATAGAATTTTCTCATCGCTAATTTATTACTTAATAAAGATCAATATAGTAAAGTTATGGATAATATAAAATGATAGAAATTTTGATAATTAATATTTTTGAGACATTAAACATTTCTATAATACATTCTAAATTTGTTTAACATTCTATTCATCATTATGTTTAAGCAATTTATTAATTTTTTTCATATTTAAAATGAAGACTTTATTTTTATATCATCTAATTCCATCTAATATATAATATGCATAATTACTTCAAATTAAGAGTTTTTGTCATTTTTATATCTGCTTCTCTCTGTTTTTCAAATCTAAAATTTGTTAATCAAAATAATTAAGTTAGATAGCAATTTATTTCTTTAACTTTTTCATTTATTTTTTATTCAACCTAGCTTTTAGTATCCTCAGGTAATTTCTTTTTTATTTTTGCTAAAATTTCTGATTTAATCTGTAAAATTATCAATCTTCTAAAGTGTGCTAAGATTTTTGGCTAACTTTATTTTAAATGAGATTTATATACATTTAGAATATTAATAAATGTAGTTTAATATTTTAAAAGAAGATATTGAGTAGATTACTATATAATAAATTCTAATTTTTATATATTGATTTCATATTTAGATCTTTAAAATATTTATTAGATAGCTTATGTTTGGAACAGATGAGGTAATAGAATAAATTTTTAACAGAAACCATTTAAGAATAACTTTCTATCAATATTAAACCTTACATTATTTTCTCTAAAAGTTTATTTACAGGTAAATTTGGGATATAGCATTCAGAACAATAGTTGAGCTAGAAAGTTTACTTAAAGCTAAAAATTCTTGCATCTATAATGTACTTAAAAGTTTTCATGTTTATCAGATCCTTTAATTGTATAATAAGTTTGTTTTGAAAATAATGATTGAGAAGTAGTTTAAGACTCAACTATGTCAATCATATTTTAAAACATTTATTATATAAATTATATTTAACTAACAAAATATTTGATGAAATAGAAGGTTTCATAAATATCTCCAGATAAATTATATGCTAGTTTATTGAAAAGGAAAAATGAATAAGAATAATAGGCTCGTTTAAAATCTCCAATTATAACTGCTAATAAGTATAGATGTGATTTTCATAGAAATTAGATATTTAGTTTCCAGTAACAGAAATAGTGGAGGTACTTAAAAAATAGAAGCAAAAAAGTCAAGACCTGCAAGTGGTAAGGATTTGAAAGATGTGAGCAAGGTTTTATTGAAGAAGACAAATGCACGTTAAAATAGCAAATTAGTTGAAGCAAAGGAGAATTCTTAGAATTTATCAACAAGTGCTCTTTCTTTGTTACTTAAAATCAAATAAGATAAACATGAAAATAAACAATCTCAAATTTAATAAGCAAAAGATCTTTATAACTAAGAAACTATTCAAAAAAAGTATTAAAAATTAATGGAAATGACAAAATAATAATAATAGTTAATACTAAAACCTAAATTATTTAAGGGACCACGTTCTATTAGTAATCCAGACATTTCTACTATGTAATTGTAAATAGTGAAAGCAAATGGTTAAAGTGCTGCAGGTATGTTATACAATGGATAAACTAAAACCAATTAAGATATATATAAATTAATTCCAAAATTTTGTCACAGAGAAAATGATTGGTATATTCAAGTATCTGATGGACATGGTACTAATGGTCATTAAGTTGCATAATTTTTATAAGAAGTACTTCCACAATTTGTTTAATAAGGTGTAATACATATGACATCATGTTATGAGAGAGATAAGTATGTTTAAGTTTTGAATTTAGATAAATAAATTAAGTGTTAAAAAATTGTTTTTTGTAGACAAGTGATGAATTGATGGATAGTGGAATAGATATAACATACTCTGGAGCAACTACTGTTGTTGTATTATCATTTGATAATGTGTTATATTGTGCAAATATTGGAGATAGTAGAGCAATAATAGGAAGATATGATAACAAATTATCTGTTATTGAATTATCAAAAGATCATAAACCAGATTGTTTTTTAGAATAGGCTAGAATTCTATAAAGAGGAGGGAGAGTATAAGCTTATAGTGATGAAGATGGGAATCCAATAGGACCAGCAAGGGTTTGGAAATTAGATGAAGATGTACCTGGATTAGCAATGTCAAGGAGTTTTGGAGATTATGTTGCTAGTTAAGTTGGAGTAATTTGTGAACCTGAAATTATTAAGCATTCTTTATTGCCATGTGATAAATTTATAGTTGTTGCTTCTGATGGAATTTGGGAGTATATATATATTTATAATGAATTAGATTTCTATCAAATGAATAAGTTGTTGAGATTATTTATGAATATTATAAAAAAGATGATAGTTAAGGAGCTTGTTAAAAATTGATTTAATTAGCAAGAGAGGCTTGGCAAAGAGAAGATGAAGTCATAGACGATATTACAATAGTTGTTGCCTTTATTAAATGATCTTTAATTTCTCACTAAATAAATTGAATTAAGACGGGAATATTAATATTTTATAAATGGATTATGATTCTCTCTATTTATTATTGCCAAAAGAACCCAAGAAATGGCAAGTATCTGATGTTATTATTTGGCTGCAATTCATTGGACTAGGTTAGATGGAGGACAAGTTTGGTATGTAGTTTCCATAGTTCTATTGTAGTAAATTGTTCAATTGATGGATCGATTCTAGAAGAAATAACAGAGAATGATTTAGAAGAAGAGTTAGGAATCAACTAAAAAATAATCAAAAAAAAGTTAATGAATTGTAATCATAATCTAATCAATAGGGATAACAACAGGATTAAAAGAATATAGTATATATTTATGTTAAATGAAACTTAATACCATTAAAAAATCACCAAATGAAGAATTCACACTTTTAAAAAATGTAAATGCTTGTTAAGATAAATAATGTTAATCTATTATTAATCAATATGATGAATTACATAATTCTTAGAACAAAATGAACAATTAGTTTGAAAATTAACTAATCCTATAACCTTTAGAAAGTTAATAAAATAATTTTTATTGTATCAAATAAGTTGGAGCAAAGATTGGAAGACATTCTAGCAATTAGATTCTTATATTAGAAGAAAATATTAGTAGATTCCATGCTGAAGTTACATATTAAGATTCTAAGGTATCTCTACATATTATCATTATTTATAGTTTTATATCAAAGATATTGGAAGTACTACAGGAACATATATTAAAATTTAAAAAAGAATGAACCTCTTTCAAGATATGCTTATTGAATTAGGTAGCAATTTATTTTAAGTCACTCAATTGGAGGAAGTGTCTAATGGTATTTAATTGGGACTCCTTGTTTTGGAAGGTCCAAATTCTGATGAACAAATTAGTTTTCATCTTAATCAAGATAAAAACTCAGTCACTTTTGGTAGAAAGACTAATGCAGATATAGCATTTCCAGAGGATCATCATTTATCTAATTTGCATGCTAAATTTTATTTAGTAGACAAGAATGTAACTATTGAAGATCATTCTTCAACTAATGGGTATATTAAAATATAAATTATTTTTTAGAACTTGGTTAAGATTATCTCTAGATGGTAAACCAAGTTCAATTTATCCACTTACTTTAGAAGATGAAATGACTGTTATTAGAATTGGCACAGTTAATTAATATCTATGTCAATTAGATAAATTAAGTATAAATTATAATGAATACAATTTTTGTACATTGTGTCATGAAAATGAACGAGATGCATTGTGTCTTCCTTGTAAGCACAATTCTACTTGTTTCAAATGTAGTAAAAATTTGTAATTATGTCCAATTTGCAAAATGAAGATCTCATAGCAAATTAGAATTTACAAAAATTGATTAAATATTAATTTTTAATTATGATAGTTAGTTTTTTATTCTTTTTTTAAAAGCTAGTTAATTTTTTATATTATAAAACAGATTATTGATTGATTTAATTTTATTTAATTTTTATTTAATATTCTATAAAGATAAAATATTTTATTAAAAATAATTTCATTTAGATTAGTTTAAAAGAATCATTATTCCTTCTCATTTTAAGATAAAAGATCCATAAAATTGTTAATTATTTAAATTCAATTTTCTAAAATAAAGAATTATTAATATATTAAACTTATTCAATGTTTCTTAAATTATTAAATTCATAAATTCATAAATTTAATAATTTATTTGTTTTAAATAAGTATTATCACATTGTATTATATTCTCAAATTTAAATTATCTACTTTTGTGTTGTTCATTTGAAATATTTAACAACTAAATAAGTGTTTGAAAATTATTCTATAGAAGTAATAATCTTATTTTAAAGACATAAAATTTTAAACCATTCTATGTTTACTAAATGTAATTAATTGTAATATATTAATGTTAATAGTATTAGTAATAAATAGATATGTAGTTTAAATTTATGAATTAATAGTAGAAGATTTTATATATTAAGTTTCAGATTAACATATAAATTGNCATTATTTATAGTTTTATATCAAAGATATTGGAAGTACTACAGGAACATATATTAAAATTTAAAAAAGAATGAACCTCTTTCAAGATATGCTTATTGAATTAGGTAGCAATTTATTTTAAGTCACTCAATTGGAGGAAGTGTCTAATGGTATTTAATTGGGACTCCTTGTTTTGGAAGGTCCAAATTCTGATGAACAAATTAGTTTTCATCTTAATCAAGATAAAAACTCAGTCACTTTTGGTAGAAAGACTAATGCAGATATAGCATTTCCAGAGGATCATCATTTATCTAATTTGCATGCTAAATTTTATTTAGTAGACAAGAATGTAACTATTGAAGATCATTCTTCAACTAATGGGTATATTAAAATATAAATTATTTTTTAGAACTTGGTTAAGATTATCTCTAGATGGTAAACCAAGTTCAATTTATCCACTTACTTTAGAAGATGAAATGACTGTTATTAGAATTGGCACAGTTAATTAATATCTATGTCAATTAGATAAATTAAGTATAAATTATAATGAATACAATTTTTGTACATTGTGTCATGAAAATGAACGAGATGCATTGTGTCTTCCTTGTAAGCACAATTCTACTTGTTTCAAATGTAGTAAAAATTTGTAATTATGTCCAATTTGCAAAATGAAGATCTCATAGCAAATTAGAATTTACAAAAATTGATTAAATATTAATTTTTAATTATGATAGTTAGTTTTTTATTCTTTTTTTAAAAGCTAGTTAATTTTTTATATTATAAAACAGATTATTGATTGATTTAATTTTATTTAATTTTTATTTAATATTCTATAAAGATAAAATATTTTATTAAAAATAATTTCATTTAGATTAGTTTAAAAGAATCATTATTCCTTCTCATTTTAAGATAAAAGATCCATAAAATTGTTAATTATTTAAATTCAATTTTCTAAAATAAAGAATTATTAATATATTAAACTTATTCAATGTTTCTTAAATTATTAAATTCATAAATTCATAAATTTAATAATTTATTTGTTTTAAATAAGTATTATCACATTGTATTATATTCTCAAATTTAAATTATCTACTTTTGTGTTGTTCATTTGAAATATTTAACAACTAAATAAGTGTTTGAAAATTATTCTATAGAAGTAATAATCTTATTTTAAAGACATAAAATTTTAAACCATTCTATGTTTACTAAATGTAATTAATTGTAATATATTAATGTTAATAGTATTAGTAATAAATAGATATGTAGTTTAAATTTATGAATTAATAGTAGAAGATTTTATATATTAAGTTTCAGATTAACATATAAATTGTTATTATAATAAATTTTATTATATAATATTTTAAGAAAAATGAAAATTAAAAATAATTGTTAATTTATTTATATTAAAAATCTAAGTATTAATAACAATAGAATTATAAATTTGTACAACATTAAATAAATAATATATCAATTTTATTTATTGTTGTTCTCTCCTCCTTCTTAGTTTTATTACTCTCCTGTTTATTCAGAAGATTATTATTATTATTATTCACTAGCTCCTCCAGTATTTCGATACCTAAAATTATGAATTAAATATTATTACATTGCTTATCCAATTTTCATGGCTGCATTTTTAACACCTTCAACTGCATCCTTAAGTCTTTAAACATCATTTGCAGTAAGATTTTCAGTTAATAAAACTCTTAAATTTTAAATGGCACTTTCAATCTCTTAAACTTCATTTGGTTATAGTTTGCTTTTATGTTCATTAAGTGATTTTTCAGTATTAAAAATAGCACCATCAGCTTCATTCTTTAAATCAACAAGTTCCTAAAAAATAAAATAAAATAATTACTCTTCTTTTTTTATCTTCATCCTTATATTTTTCAGCTTTATTAATCATATCTTAGATTTCAGCTTCACTTAAACCACCTGATGATTAAATTGTGATTGAATGATCTTTTCCAGTAGCCTTATCTTTAGCAGACACATGAACAATACCATTGGCATCAATATCAAAAGTAACATCAATTTAAGGAACTCCTCTTGGAGCAGGTGGAATACCAGATAAATCAAATTATCCTAATAATTTATTATCAGCAGCCATTTCTCTTTCACCTTAGAAAACTCTAATAGAAACAACAGTTTGGTTGTCACTAGCAGTTGAATAAGTTTGACTTTTTTTAGTAGGAATAGTAGTATTTCTAGGAATCATTTTAGTGAAAACTCCTCCAAGAGTTTCAATACCTAAAGAGAGTGGAGTTACATCCAATAATAATAATTCTTTAACATCACCTTTTAATACACCACCTTGAATAGCAGCTCCAATAGAAACTGCTTCATCTGGATTGACTGATTTATTAGGTGGTTTATTAAAGAGATCTTAAACTAATTTTTATACTTTTGGCATTCTACTCATACCACCAACTAAAATAACTTCATCTATTTTGCTTTTATCTAATCCTGAATCTTTAATACAATTTTCAGTAGGTTTAATAGTTTTTTTGAGAAAATCTTCAGTTAAAGATTCAAGTTTAGCTCTGGTGAGTTTGAGATTACAATGTTTAGGTCCTGAAGCATCAGCAGTTAAATAAGGTAAATTAATATCTGTTTGAGTAGTTGATGACAATTCAATTTTAGCTTTTTCAGCAGCTTCTCTTACTCTTTAAACAGCCATTTTATCTTTGGAAATATCAACACCAGATTGTGCTTTGAATTCTGAACTAATCCAATTAGAAAGTATTGAATCAACATCTTCACCTCCACAACTTGTATCACCATTGGTAGCTTTGACTTCAAATACACCAGCATTGATTTCCAATATAGAAATATCAAATGTACCACCTCCCAAATCATAAACTGCTATAATTTTATTGTCTTTCTTTTCTAAACCAAAAGCCAAAGCTGCAGCTGTTGGTTCATTAATAATTCTTAGAACATCTAATCCAGCAATTTTACCAGCATCTTTAGTTGCTTATCTTTATGAATCATTGAAATAAGCTGGTACTGTTACGACTGCCTTTGATTAAGGTTTACCAATATAAGCATCTGCAGTTTCCTTCATTTTCATTAAGACAAAAGCTCCAATTTATGATGGAGAATAGGTTTAACCACCTTGAGAAATATATTTAGATATTACTCTTCAAACTAACCCAAGCATCACCATTTTAAGCTCTGATAACAGAGTAACTCAAATGTTTAATATCTTTTTGAACATTTGGATCATCATATCTTCTACCAATCAATCTTTTTGTGGCATACACAGTATTTTCTGGATTGGTTACAGCTTGTCTTTTAGCTGGTGCTCCAACTATTCTTTATCCATCAGCAGTAAAGGCAACTACTGAGGGAGTAGTACGCATACCTTCTGCATTTTCAATAACTTTTGGTGTACCAGCTAATTAAGAATTAGAATTATAGATACCTTCCATAATGGATACACATGAGTTAGTTGTTCCTAAATCAATACCAATGACATATTCTCCTTTCATTACCTTACTACTGAATGCATTAACAGTGTGTTAGTTCAATTTTAATGTTGGTTTGAATAACTTGCTGAGCATTTAATTACCTCAAATTAATTTTTAATTCTAATCAAAATATACCTATTACTTTTATATTAGAAAATTAAAATATTTTTCTAGAAATATCCAATGAATAATTATTAATATTATTATATTGAATCAAACTTTTATTTTGCTAAAGTCAACACTTTTGACTAAACTGAATGCTTCTTCAGTCACTTAAATATCTCTGATTAATTTATTCTTTAAATCAGTATAAATTTAAGTATCATCAGCAAATTATTCATTTTCCAAATCAAGTAAGGCTTAAGCAGTATTTCTGTCTGATTATCTTTAAGCTTGGAATGATAAGAATTATTCAATTTTTTCTATATTAATATTATAAATATAGAATTACCTTATGTAGCATTCAAATCAATTGTAATTTTAGTAATTTATCTTTAGAATTCAGCATATTCAGCATCTAATTATTCAATTCTATCTTCATAATCTTGAACATCTTAAGCTTCTTAAGCAGTAGCTGCATTAATAGCATCAACAACAGCATTTCTAAATTCATTCAATTTATCAACGATTTATTTAATAATTCCTTAATCAGAAAAGTTTTATTCTGAAGCTAATGTGATTAAAGCTTTAATTAAAGTTTAGTGTTATGAATGTGGTTTAATTCTGGCTTCAATCTTTCTCAAATTGTTTTAGAATTTTTGAATTTATACTAATGATGGATTAGTCAATGTGCTTAACAAATTTAATGCATCATCAGTGGCACCAACTGCATCATTGAATTCAGCAATTTAAGCTTCAAATGCTTCATGTTCTTATTCTCTAATTAAAGTTTCTTCATCTACAGTTTTTCTATTGAATTCTTAATAATCAATCAATTATTAGATTTTTGCCTTAAGTTATTCTCTTCTTGGATAAAGTAAATTCTCTAATGTATCAGCACTTCTTTAAATATCTTTATATAAATATAAATAACATACCAATATCAGCATCTTAAACTTCTTGTGTATATTATAATGACAATGAATTGTGTTCATTTGTTCTAACTCCATAATTATATTCAACTTCATCTAATTCATCTTACATTTATTAAATCATTTCTTCAATTGCTCCTACTAAGTCTTATAATACTCCTCCTGTATGAGCATGTAATTCAGCCAATTGTAAAATTGTTTATCCCCAATTTGTTTTCATTAAAGCATCAACATGTTTTTATGCCTATCTATTTAGGTCTGTTGAGACTGCATTAAGTGAAACAGCTAAAATAAGCAATATGGCAATCTTCATTAATTTAATTATTGTTATACTCATTCATCAATCAACTTAATCACTTTAAATTAACTATCCGTTTTCATATAGAAACGATTATTATTAAATATATAGTTTTTAATCATTAATAATATTCATTTATATATCTTATAAATTATCTTAGTTAATAACTATTCATATTCTATATCTAATTAATAGATAAATTACTTTTAAGTAATTATAGTAAGAATTTCTTATAAATTTTAATTTAATATAATTATTGTTATTCATTAATAATAATAGATAAATTATGAATATTATAAAAATTCATAGAAAAACTAAATGGTTTTTAATAAATAAATGTAAAATAATAAATTTAATTACTTGAGAGTATGGTGGTTAATAAATAAATAATATTTAATTCATTGATATGTGTTTCAAGGAATTTAATATGATTACTAAAAATTTAATGGATGAGTTTCATCTAAATTACGTTCATTTTGTTCATTGTTAGGATGCGAACTAAACTCTGAATAAATTTATAATTATTTTTTCTCATTTTCTAATAAATCTTTTCTTATATTTTTATAATTAAATTTCTTTCTTTCACTTAATTTATCAAAATCATCTTATACTAATATTGTTGGTCTTATTGACATGAATCTAAATTATAATAATTATTATATACCTTATAAAGGATGTAACAACTGTTAATAATGATATAGCTATTCTTAGATATGTTAAGAATTCTAAATCTCCTTCTTATTTCCAAGCCTAATTAACAGTAAAATAAGTCTATATTACTATTTGAGGTAAATCTTCGAAAATAAATTAAAAAAAGTAACCCTAAATTTATAAATAATAATAATATACTTTAACTAAATTACTCATAGATTTTCCTGCTTAATTTGGTAGTATAGCTCTAGTTAATTTATTATTAGGAATTACTGATACATTATAAGGAGCAATAGAATCTAATAAATTAGATAGAGCAGAATTTCTTCCTAAAAATCCAATTGAATAAAATTCATTAATAAATTGAGATGATAATTATTAGATTGATTTATTAGATTAGAAAAGTCCTTTTGTTATTAAGTATAGAAAATAAATAAAATTAATTCCTTATGTAAAACCAGTTATGATACATGTCAAATAAAATAATTCAATGTAATTACAATTCTATAAAACTAAAATGAATGTTACATCACCAAAAAGATCAAATTTAAATAATTAAGACATTGAAAATTAAATAATTCTATTAATTTAAGTAACAAATTTTGATTTGCCTACTCTATTAATTTTTGATAAAAAAGATTTATAAGATTTTTCAATTTTCTTTTTGTATCTATCTTTAAATTATGAATTAGCCAATTTATCATCTGTTAAATTAGCTCTATTACTTTCTAATGAAATATTAGATTATTTATATTAATTTATTATAATTTCTGATTCATTAAATTATTAAGCATGTTCCATTTATGTTATATATTCAGGTATTATATCACAGATAGAAAAATAAAGATATCCTTCTATTAATGCTGAAATAAAGGCAAATGCTGCATAACAATAATATTATTAATAACCTTTTGTAACTTAACATTATTATTCATTTTCTTTGGTTGTAAATTCAATTAAGAAAAATGGAGCTACAATAGCTGCACCAAAAAATAAAAAGTTTGTAAAAGCTAATAATAATAAATTAAATTTTTGTTTAGACAAATATTAATTTAATTTTATTACTTAATCATCAAATACATATTTTTATGTTGGCTTTACAAATATATTATAAAAGTTATATTGAATCATTCTATAAAAGTTTGACCAAGTACTACCTTCAACTTTTTTATATGCTGTTTCTCTTAATCCATATCCTATACCAATATTTAAAAAATTATCAAATTTATAATCTATAACTGAATATTAAAAGTAATAAATATCATATAAGATTGAATATAAACCTTTTATTGCCTAAATACTTAATGTACCTTATATTCTAACATTAGATGGTGGTATCAATCTACATAATGAAATAAAATCTCTCTCAGTATATCCTTTTTATAACATTTTCTCTACTAAATCATCATTTAATGTATATTCCATTAAAATTTAATCTATATTACATTTATAATATTTTATATTCTCCCATATTTATAATACATCAAATTAATTTAATTCTTCTAAACATTATGATTCTGCTTTTATTAAATTTATATTCTTTATTTTATTTGAAGATTTACTCAAAAATATATAAGCTTCTTTTTAAAAAAGCATAAAATATGGAAATGGTTTTGCAGGTTTCTCAGTTGTATATCTAAATAAATTAGAAAAACTATTTAATGTTGCTAAATTTAAAGTTAATTCAATTGAATTTTAATTTATACCTAAAAGATGATTTATAATTTTTAAATAATGTTCAATAAAATTTAAATGAAACTTTGAAAATTTAAAACATTCACAAAAATCTAATCTACTTGGAATTATTAATTCATTTCTATTATATATTAATTAATTTAAAATTTCAACTTAATCTCCTAAATGAATTGGAATTTCATCAAAAATACCTAATCTACATCCTTTATAATCTATTTTTACAGGTAAATCATCAGGAGGTTTATATTAAATTGGTTTTGGTGATATATATTAAGCAATTTAATCTTTTAATATTACATCATAACATAAAAATGTATGTAAAGGGAGTTTCTTATTTTTTGATAATTAAGCTCTTCTTTATGCTGATAATAAAATTTTATTTAATTTTTCATCTGTATCTATTTAAGCACTAGTTAAATTTAATTCAATTAAATTAACTTTTGGATGGAAAATAAAATTATTAAAAATATTCTCCCATCCAATCTCTGTTAAAAAATTATTTTTAGAAAAATTTAATCTTTTTAATGGAAATTGATATTTTTTACCTTTTGAATTCAAAAATTTCTATGCATTATAAGCAATATGAGTTGCTATTGAATCATTCAATGCCATCATATGTAAATTCAATATTTCTAAATAAGGTGTTTTATCTGTAAAAACAAAAGTTCTAAGAAATTTCTACCATATTGCTTTATCTTAAAATAATTCATTTTTTCCTATATCTAAGTATCTAATTGGAAATATTTTACCAAATTATCTTTAATTTCTTCTCTAAAAATGTAACCATTCAGTAGCATGTTTTATCATATCAGTTATAATTTTATCATCTAATTCTATTGCTTATAATTCTATTCTTTCAATATTTACATATTCAAAATATATTAAATTATTGAATAAAATGTCCATTCCTTCTTCTCCTATATGAAAAGAAAATAAAATGCATATTCTTTTTATACTCATATAAAATGATTTTTATCTACTAGAATAATTAATTCTATCTCTTAACTTTTAAGCAGGACTAACAATTGCTTTTATTGCAGGAACTCTTAAATCACAATTCATTAAAACTAATTCTTCTAATATACTATCTTCACTATAAATCATTTTAGATGAAATTAATGTTAAAGCATCATTATCTAATTCAATATTTGAATTATAATTTATTCCCATATCTAATTTTAAATATTTGATTTTATATATGGAATAACTTAATTATAAATTGGCAAAACTTTAAGGATTTCTTAAAACTAAATTAGTAAATCCAAACATCTCATTAAATATTAAATTATAATATAAAAAGTAAGTATCTTCATGTTCAATATAATTAAGATCAAGTATACTACCTTATATAGGATTTTTGTATATTTATTACAATAAATTATTTGTATCATTTTATTTTAAATAAATTACTTTTTCTATTTTTAAAAGTGTTAAGGTTTCAACAGATTTAGATATGAAATTAAAAAAATCAATATCAACACCTAAAGAACCATTTATTATAAGACTTTTTAATATTAATTTATCAGCTTTACAAACATCATAAATATGTTAAAATATACTATCTGAATTTTAAGTTGTGATTTCTAAAAATTATAATTTTGACATTTAACAAAATAATAAAGAGAATATCTTATAAATAGTTGAAATATGATTTCTACCTTTATCTTCAATTGACAATTTTATTTTTTCAATTTTACAATCATTTGCTTAATTTAAATCAAATTATTTTATTTAATCAAATATAACTCCTTTTGGAATTGTTATTTCTTTTATTGGAAATACTTTACCAACAATTAATTATTCAATAAATTTTTGAGTCTAACTTTCATTTAATTTATCTTCACAATTTTCAAAGGATACCTTCTCAAGAACATAATTAGTTCTACTATCACTTAAATTAAGAAAGATTTATAAAAATTATTCTTTAAAACCATGAATTGATAATTTCCTCAAATTAACTTAATGATTAAAAAGAAATAGTTTATAAAATTATTCAATACTAATTCTACTTTATGTTGTTACTTAATGTATATGTATTTATTATATATTAATAAATTACTATTTTTATGTACTAGTTAAAGATAATTCCAAATATTTTTATGAGAACTCAATACTATTATTACAACATAACATAAATAAATCTAAATCTACATTAGATAATTTTAATTTTTTTAATTAACTTTCAGGATAGATAATAAATCCAGTTATAATTCTTTAATATAAACTTCTTTTGAATTCTTATTATTAAAAATTTTATTCATTATTTTAATTCTTAAATTAATTGATCAATTATAAATCAATTTCTAATTTCTTAAGTTATTTTGGGAAATTTGGTTTAAAAATTTTATGATTGTAATACAATTTTTATTTTAAATTTAAAAGTGTTTAATCAACAAATAATAAATTTTCATTTATTAAAATATTGACATCATCTTTTCTAAGTGAATCTTAGGCTGCTAATTCATATTACATTGTCTAATTTTAATTCAAAATAGTATTAAATAACTATTAAAAATATAATTTAAAATATTTACATTTATCCATTATAATTCTTTGATTTTATTATTTTAAGAAAAATTTATTTATCTTAAAGAAAATATTCTTTTAAATTGTTATATTTTACTTGTGATTTATTATAATTATTTGCAAATAATAATAATCATATCATCATTTAAATTACAATTTATTAAATTTAAAGTTTCAAGTTATTATCTATCTAAATTCAAAATTAAATAATTCACCATCCATTCAAATATATTTATATCTGTAAATTCACAATCCTTTAATGTAAATAATTTTAAAGCAAATTAATTAATTTCATCTATATAGTTTTCTCTAATTTTAAGCATAGATTATTAAACATTTTTGCATTTAATAATCTCTAATTTTTCTATTTAAGCTATTGGAAAGAAAAAGGATAAAAAATCACTATTTAAATTACAATCAATAAATTTTAACTCAGTAATTGGTAATAAGAAATCCTCATTTTTTTATTTAGATTTAGCTTATGATATATATTGTACAGTTGATTAAGTCATGCCTAAATTGAAATTTATATCTATATTAATTGAATTATATGTTAGTGTAATCAATTTTTTATTTTGAAATATAAATATTTTAGAAAGTTAATTCCATAATTCTTTTGATTATATATTGATATCCTCAAATTCTAAAGATTATAATTCTTCTAATGTATTTATATTCTTTGGTATTATATTTGATTATAGATTTTAAATTAATTAATTAAAATCAATATTCTTTAAAATCAATTCTTTTAATCTAATTATTTTACTAAAGACAATATATTTAAAGAATTCTTCTTCTCCTGCTTCTTAAAAATCACCAAATTTTAAACTTCTTAATCCAATTATTCTATTTGGATCAATAGAATTTTAAATATGTAATTCTAATTCTCTGGCTGCTAAACTAGATTTAGTAAGTTTAATTTTATAAAAATGAAATTCTTTAAGTTAAAGTTTAGGACAATATATTACAAGCTTAATTAATTTACTTACATCAAAAGATATTCCTGTTATAGTATCTAATTTTAAGATTTATAAACTATGGACGAACCATTCTGGCTAAGATAAAAGAAATCCTTCAAGTTCATTTAAATATATATTGCCTTCACCCTATATGAATGTTTTTAAAGTAATACTTTCATGGAGTCTTTAAAATATTTAAAAACCCTCAATTTTATATTTGGAATAAGTAACAAGCATTTAAATGTTTACAAATCTAATTCTAATTAAGCTGAAAAAAACTTTAAGTCATTTATAGTAAATTCTAGATTTGGACTCTTATGAACTACTTCTAATATATAAGCTGCAGCTAATTTGAATGCTTCTTTTCTATTTTTTTTAGTAAAACTTTTAATAAATTTAAAACTTTCAATTTGAAGTAGAGACTTTTTTTTTGTAAATAAATAATCTAAAAAGAATTACTTTAAAATATCAATTTTCATTGTATATTCTTATTCTGAATCTGTAAAAATAATATGTTTTAAATTTAATTTAAAATCTTTATATTTAGGAATTTTAGATTTTTTTTAAATGAAATCAGATTAAAATTAATTCAAAGCTTTACAATATATTTCAGTTCTACCTACATCTAAATTTTATAATGCTAATATTAAATTAATATTTATTACTATGTGTTCTAACATTACTAAATTCACTAAAAACCACTGTTTTTAATAAAGCCTCAATTTAATCATATCTATTAAAATTTTCAACTTTTGATAAATCTAATGATTATAATTTACTTTTATATTTATATTTTCCTTATATAATATATTATATTATACCTAAACTAGATTTTTATAATTTTTCTTAAATTTCAAATTTATTATTCTATCTTTCAAATGCTTAAATCAAAATAGACAATTTATAAAGAGTACTATTATTTTCAGTTAATGAATTATTTAAATTAATTGTTTTACATTCTAAAAATATATCATCAGCCAATAATTGAAATGCCTTCTCAAAAATATCTGAATTATCTGATATATCTAAATGATTTATTCTTAAACGATCATATCGATCTCCAATCAATTATTGTATTGCTGTTGTATTGTGAAATAATGGTTGATTTCTTAATTTCAATGTTACTAATCCTTTAGCTGTAGCTAAATTTTAACATGCATTATTAAAACTACTTTAAGTACCTAAATAATTATCAGATATATCTAAAGATGATATTTATTCTAAATTGTCAAAACTATAAGTACATCTTATTAGATGTTCAAATCCTTTCCAATTTATTTGAGTAAAACAATTAGATAAATTAAAACTAAAATAATATGTTTGATCTATTTTCTTCATTGCAAGTTCTCTTTCTTCTCTTATTTTTTAAACTTACCAATTTCTTTATATTTTTATTATTGCAAAAGATAATTTAGCTTTGTTCTTTAATAATAAATAATAAAAATCCATATTATTCTCATATTTTTTAACTAAATAATGTTTTAATTTTCTAAGCAGAAATCCTTTATAAACACCAGGATTACTTATTAAAAACATCTAATCATTATTATTTCTATATTTTACTTTTTATAAATTGATATTTCTTTCAAAAATTTAAAAAATGAATTCTTCAACACATTAATCATCTAATTCATTATGTTAAAATTCAATAACTAAATTCTAAGTCTTTACCCAACTAAACCACAATGGTAATATCATTAAATTTTCTTTTTCCAATTTAGTATCAATGAATCTTACTTATTATATTGATGAATTGCCTCTTTAACGTAATTCAATCATTTTCCAATGTTCCAATTTGAATGTTCCTTTATATCCTTTTATTGAAAGTTTCTTATCATATAAACCCATTAAACATTATTACTAAAATAAATAATAAGACTACCTATAATTCTTCAAGTTAATCTTCAATTGTTTTAGGTGGTTTAAATTCGAATTCTCCATTAGGTAATTTATTTTATTCTTTTTTTTAATGAATTGCTTATCTTTAATTAGTTAGCCATTCCTTCTCTTTCCTTATTTCATTCATATATACATTAGGTTACATCTAAAGAAAAAAAATAATAATAATCTAAATTATTAAATAATTAAGAGAAAATAAAGAAATGATAAATAAGTTAAATTATTATATATATTTTACTGAAGATGGCCTAGTAAATTCATAATTAAAATTAAAAAATTAAATTCAATCATCCTATCATCATTAATTAAAATGTATGAATTTTTAAACTATATATTTGAATATTTAGAATAATTATAATATAAAATATTTTATATATTTAGAATATATTTGGAATGTAATAATAATAAAAAAATAGTATTCTATTATTAAACTCTCAATTAAATAATATCAAACATTTATGAGTTGGTTTCCAATCCTAATTTAAATTTCCATCTATATTTACTAAACCTATTTTCTTAAACATTATTAAATTATTTTAATCAACCTATTTAATATTATTATTTATAAGATGAAAAAGAGAAACCAATTATTTTGTATTTATTACTAATGTATAATTCTCGTTATATGTAATTTCAGCATATCCATAATTACATAATTAATATCGTTTATTTTATTCCTTAGGTAAATATTTTAATAATTAATATGGAATATCCTAAATTATTTCAGCAGTCTGTGAAATGAATTAAGGATAAGGTAAATATAATGGTCTAAAAGAATTTTAAGCTATTCTTAAATATTTTTCTAATTCTTTTAATTTAAATTTATCCACTTATTTATGATGATACTTAGACATTTTAGAAATCTTAGCAATTTATAATGATATATTAAAATTAGATTTGTATGGGGATACTAATTTAAATAAATTTTGCATCATTAAAGTAATAAAATGATCAATTGATTAAATCATACATTATGAAAAATAACCAACTTCTTCATCTTGAATTTCAATCAATTTTTATAAACAACCATTATTCTTTATTAAATATTCTTCAATTGTTTCATTTAATGCAATTAACATATGCTTTTCATTTTAATAAAAACTTTATATATTATTTAAATTTATTTTAAACACTTCAAAAAATTGTTCAAAGTTTAAATCAAGGTATTGTAAAAGAAATTCTTTATATTTAATTGCTAACTAATAAAAAGGATTTATTTGATTATCTTTTTCTTCTATATTAATAAGTTTTTATTTAATATTGTATTGTTATCTATCTTCAATTTGAAGAAATGTAAATAAATCAAATAATTCTTAAGAATTTTATTTAAAGTCTATAGTTTTTAGCTATTACTAAATAATAAATAATTTTAATTCATTAATTATGTAATCCTCTGATTAAGGATGAAGTAATTTGATATTTTATTATTCATCCTTAATGAATTATATAATATTATCTTTTGGTATTCTTTAAGTTATTGAATTAAGATAGGGTGTAAGGAATCGTGATTTAAAATAGTTATTGTTAATATCAATGTTGAAAAATTAATGACCTGGTTTTAAATAGATATTTTAAGAGCCACAAGCTTAAAGGATATGTAAATATAAAGAATTCTAAATGATTGGTTGATTATCAATTAAATTTTCCTTAATAATTTGGAATGCCTTAGTAAATAGTGACTATTAGTTAATGAAAATACCAAGATAATACACTATATTAATTAGTATTTCTAATTATTCAGGTGAAATCGAATAATGATTCTTTATATGCTTTCTTAGAATATCATAATAAAATTCTTCCAATTCATAATTTTTTTCCATATTCTACAAGAAGATCTATGTATGTAGTTTAGTTAGCAAAGAGGATTCAAGAGATTCCTTATTTACAAGTTTATTGTAAATTAGTTAATACAAATCCTAAACTTAAGAAATCATATTTATATAAAATCAATTTTGCTTAATATTAATTTTCCAAATATCTCTAATAATTCCTGATCAAATGAACAAACTTTTTAAGATCTAATTCCTTTATTATTAATAACTTATAATATAAGACTATGAGTTTTCCCTTAAATCTCAATACAATAAATAGGCATTGTAGTTTAAATATCAACTAAACATATCAATTAATTAATTACAAACTTAGACTGTTAAATTATTTATGATTATAAGCATTTTAAATACATAAAAATTCTTTATTTTTATGAGCTTCTCCAATTATTCCTACTCCCAATTATGAAATTTCAAGTAATTTTTTTTCATTTACTCTTAGTAATCTATTATTATTAACAACATAAATTAATCCTTTTTGAGTATGAAATAGATTCTTTAACAAGTTTTCAGACTCAAATAAAATGGTTTCAAAATCATTCATATATATAAGTTATAATTATGCCTAAAATAGAATTATTAAATACATAAATAACATTTCTAAGTGCATTTTAAATACTAATTGATTCATTAGATTATTGATGATTTCTTAATAAAATAGATGTTAATTCTGAAGTCTTTGTTATATAGAGTTAATCATCATTATTAAAATGTCCATTCATTTTATTAACTGCCATTATAACTCCAATTGAATTCTATTATTTATCTAAAATTGGACATAATAAAATTGTATTTGTTTTATATCCTTTTTCATTATCTTTTTTGAATCTAGGATCATTGTAAGCATTATGTACATTAATAATTCCTTTCTCTTAAAAACAAGCTCCTATAATATCTTCACTTAATTGAATTCTTTAAACTCTATCTTTCATCTTAGTCCACAATTCCTATTATTCATTGTCCAATACATAAATTTAAACTTTATCACAATTCAAACAATCTTTTAATAAAGATTACAAATTTTCTAATTAATCATTTAATGGAATTTGCTAATTTATTTTATATAAATTTACATCATGCATTTCTAAACAAGATTCAAATAGTTTATTTTATTTAATTACATTTTTAAATAACAATTTATGTTCATGTAATACTAATTAAATAGCATCAAATATATTCACAATATTACTAAGTTCCATTTTTTAGATATTTACAAGAAATTATTCCTCATTTGAAACTAGAGTTTTTATTTAAGTCAAATGACTAAGTTCTTCATAACATTTGACATATTAGCTTAACAAAGCTTTAAATCTAGACAATACAATGTACCATAATCAGCATCTAAAATAGCAGATAGATTTTCATCAAAATTAGTATCTTTGGTTCTGGTTCTTAAAGACTTTTTGCCTCTAAAACTCTATTATACTGAAGAATCATCTGATTTAACAATTGTTTTTAGTGGATTAACAACTTCAACAATTTACTATTTTTCAACCCTTAAAGCACTGATTATACAATCTCGTTTTTCTATTGCAATCTAAAGTGATTTTATCATAAATTCATATTGCTAAATCTATTTTTCCTTTAAAGCTAATTCAGAATTCTATTATTGAACCTTTTTCACTAAATTTGTTATAAGTTCCTATATATCCTTTTCACTTTTTTATTTCAATTTCAAATTCAAAACCTCACTTAAATTTGGTAGTTTATCACTATTTTTTTTATCCAACTTTTCTATGGATCTACAATTTTAAGAAGTTACAGGTCTTCTTATATTTTAGATCGTATTATTCATTTATATAATAAAAATAATATCAAGCATCATAAAATTCATCTTTGTTTTCATCATAAACTTATTAAGATTTAGAAAATCTCTTAAGAATATATGAAATAAATGCTAAGAACAAAATTGCATAAATGATACCATTAACCTAATATATTTCCTAAAACTAAATACCAATAAAAAGATTTCTAAGAAGAAAAACAATACTGGAGCTTCTATTTGGCAATCATTAGGTGTTTAATACATTCTTCCTCCATAAATTAATAGCAAAATTATATAAATGCCAAAACAAATATCCAAAAAATTAAAAAATAGATTAATTGCAGCATTTTTATATCTATATTAATTTAAATATATTACCTTGGAATTAAAGTAATAAGTATATAAGTTCCCCAGATGATTAATCCATAGAAAACTAAATGTACAAATAACTGAAGATTTTAATTGCATTTTTATTCAATAAATTAAGTCTCAATAATTCCTGATGCTGATAGGAATATTAAAGTATAAAAAAAATGTGCCCCTTCACTTGCTTTTAATTACTTTTTTGCCTCTATTTCTTACATTTTTAATATTTATTTATAATTTACACATTTAACGATGAAATAAATTTATAATATACTATTTTTAATATTATTAAATTTAAGATTGATAATATTTATGTTATCGTATACATTAAAAAGATCAAACATATAGTATTATAATGATATCAATTATATCAATTATTAAAATATATATACAAATTTATTCAATCAAGCTTAAATTATTTATTTAGTTTGCTTCTGAAATAATATATTTCTGATAGTTAATCATTTATAAAATGTGATTTGTTTACCTTTCATATATTATATTTCAATTACAATTTGTAACTAATTTTATAGCATTTTTTTTTTCCTTTATAAATTTAGTATGTGTTAACATCGATTTGAACTAAAAACATTAGTAAAAATGTTTTCTTATTTTAGATTGATTTCTTATTTCTTCAAACTTACAGATCGAGCTTCTATGATTAATGGTGGTAAAATCATCTAATCTGATACTTGAGTTTTTTAAGATAACTATATTTTTTTTTTCATTATTTGGAAAATTATTAAAATGCAATCTCTAGTTGAGAATGATGACATCTACTTAGAACCTATCAAGAAGAAACCAAAAATCTAAGAAGTGATAAAAACTAAATAACCTGAAAGCAATTAAATCATTAAAAAAAAACCTACTGCTATTCCAATCAAATACGTTCCAGATTTAAGAGCTTAAGCATCATTATTAGAATCATTGAAGATCATTGAAAATATATAGCCAGATACTATGTAATCAAGTCTTAAGAGTGATTATACAGAATGGACTCATTAAGATTTTATGTTTTAACTTAGTCTGTAATCCAATTAAATACATCCTGATTGTGTTGAAAGATTAAATTAGTATTTTCGAGACTTCAATCAAAAGTGTAAAATCTATCCATATATGCATTATGTTGATTTGAAACCAGATAAAGATCATATTGTAAATATGCATCCTCCTTTTCAATATTAAAAAGATGAATTTATTGAAAATTGTATTAGACCAAGAGTAATTCCATTAGTAAAGCCACCTCCAAAACCAAATATCAAAATAAAAATAGAGTCGAAATGATTATGTTTATATAATTAAATGATTATCATTTATTTTTTCTTAATTTATTAGGTCCAGCCCTTTTATTTTTAGTTTAATTTTATTATTTCTAACTATGTACTAAATAAATACTTCAAGTTTTTCTAGTGCTTTTTTCTTGAATTCCTCAACTGACAATATCTTATCACCTTCTATATCATCATCTTCATGTTCATCTAAAAATAATATAAATTTATTACCAAATTAAGGTAATTCTGCCCTATTTTTATTTTAAAGGTTCTTTTCATTCATTTAAGCTAATTATTATAATGAATTGATTTAATTTTCTGATATTTTCTAATGAATTTATTAATAGTATTGTAATAATTTATTAGTTTTATTTTCTATTAATCCTAAATAAATCATCATATTAGTATCAGTAACTCCATGAGATCCAGCTATTTCTGTTGCCATCTATTTATCACATTCAACTGTATTGAATAGTGTTTCAATCCAATTCTAAAAAAAAATAGAAATATATAAGTTACTGTTAAACTATTTATGAGTTTAATAGATTCATTATATTTGAATTCGTATGATTCTGATTTCTATTCTGATCTTGATAATTTCTCTTCTAAATCTTTAAGATGTCTTTTTCTTTATACATCTACATTAGAACCTTGACCTTCATATAAAGATGCTTCATCTTTCAATTCTCCTATTTATTTTTCAAGATCTTCAATTTCGTTACTTAATTCATTAACATATTTAAACATTTAAAAATTCTATTATAAATTTTAGAGTATATATTACTTTTTCTTCATTTTAAATAAAGATTTTTATTAATTCATCAAAAACTTTAATTTATGTAGCTGCCTAAATTTTAGCAAAGTCTTCTTCATATTTCATTATTTATTCAACAATAGTTTAATTGACGGTTTTATCTCTAGTTAATTTACTTGTTTTTGGTTTAGTAAATTTATCAGGATCAACTACTTCTTATTAATCCATTTCTCTATTTTTTTCTGTTAATTTCATATAATCTAATGTTTTTTTATTTTTTTCCATAATTTAACTTAATTCTCTTAGATCTTTTTCAAAATCAGCAGATTCTCTTTTTGCTTATTATTTTAAACTTTAAATTAAATCATTTGCTTTATCTCTTTCTTCATAAGCTGTATTAGCAGTTTCAATAATATCTGCCATTTCCTTATAATAAATTTATTAAATATACTTTTCTTTTTTCATGTAATTCCTTTTCTAATTTTTTATATAGATTATCAAATATAACTCTTTCTCTACGTAAACTATCAATTTATTATCTTAATTATTTATTAATTGCAATAGCTTCATTAAATTTTTAATTTGTTTTGTCTAATCTATTTTCTAAAATTTTAATTTGTTTTTGTAATGCACTTTCATTTTCAGCTCCTGCATTGTATCCACCTAAAGCATGTCTTTTTTCGATTATCTTTTTTTAAAAATCAGCAACATGTGTATCAATTTCTTCCTAAACTTTCTTCTCTTCATTAATTGCAACTTTCAAATCATCAATTATAGTATCAATATTAGGTCCTTTTGAATATGTAGTCTAATTAAGTTATAATTTTTAAGAATTCATCTTTGCTATTAAATCCTTCAGAATGTAATTTTCATTCTTGAGTTTATCAATAATTCCTCTTTATTTTTTTATGTTAGCAACAGTTTCTTCTGCATATGCTTTTCTATCAGATTCTAAGTTTCTAAATTTCTTCTATTGTTCTAATAACTATTCTTAAGCACTAACTTCTTTATCAGCAACTTAATGATCCATTCCTTGATTCTAGTCCTGTTACATTAAATAATAAATACTCTAATTTAAATTATATGTATATAAAATAAATCTTATCTTTAGATAACTATTTCCTAACAAAGGTTCTCTTTTAATTCTTGAAAAGAATCACTCTTTATGTTTTCTTTAATTCAAAAATTTATTTTGTAGTATCAAATAGTTCAAAAAAACTAAATATGACAATAAATAATAATAAGGAATAAATTTAATATGGAAATATGAGTTAAATGATGGAATGAGAAAAAATGTTAAAATGATAAAACAGTTATAATAAATATCGAATTCATAAAGATAACTGCTTTTGGAAAATCAAATAGATTAACATTATAAAAATATTTAATTATTTACTGTAAAAAAATCTGAGAAAATATTTAAAAGTTGATTCTACTAATTGAAATAAGAAATAAAGAAAATTATAAAATAATGGAATAGATTTATGTAAATAAATAATCAAGTATATTTATGATTTGGATAATAATAAAAATAAATACAATTAAAAATACTAATACTTTATTTAAGTAAATAGATCCATATATCTAAAGATTGCAATAATGAACCAAGAATTAACCATTTTTCACTTATTCTACTAAATTAGAAATAGATATACAAAAATATGAATTTAAAATTTAAGAAACATAATGAAGATATAATCAATCAATAAAGAATTAATATTTATTTGGTAAAGCAATTTCTATGAAAAAGAAAGCAAGAAAGAGGTTTAAATATGTAAAATCCAAAGAATTATAAAATTATAAAAAAATTATTATTGAGGATTCCCTTTAATAACAAGAAATATAAATCTATAAGGGTTTTTAGTATGATTAATTTTAATAATAATAATAATAATAACAAATCAATAAATCTTATTAGAGAATGTTTAATAATTAAAATAAAATTATAAGTATTTTAAAAACATTATATCAAATTGAGTTTTATTTTATATAATTTAACTATGAATGTAAGAAAATCAAGATTGTTATTTAGAAAGTTTTGTAAAATACCAAAAATGCAAAGTTTTGAACATATTTATGAAAATAAAGATAACATAAGTATTATTATAATATACTTATGTTAAAATGTAGAATATATAAAAGAGAATGATTCTAAATTAATAATGAGTTTGTAGAATATTTATGTAATTTATATGAAACTGAATATTAATTATTTTAATGATTAATCTCATCTAAATATTACAACAATCACGAAGCCCATTTTTTAAAGAATTATCCATTTATGAGGATGGAAGAAGGGTAATTTTAATTTTTTTTAAGTAGATGTTAGAAAAGTCCCTGAAAGAAAAAGGAGGGATGGAGTACTATTTGATATCTAAAAAATTCATAAAATAATGGAAATATTATGTAGATTATGATGAAGAAATTGAAGAATTTTAATAGAACGCTAGATAGAAAGTTTTGAATTTTAAAAATATGAATAGCCTGATATAATTAATTCTGACTTAATAAACCATGATAATTTGTTCGAGTATTTTCCTGAGAGTCATGTTTATAATTCTAGCATTCGTTATTTGGAAAATGAATGGGATTATGAAATTGTAATTTATATAATAGAAATTATAGGTTTTGAAGGTAGTATATGAATGTTTTAAAGCAAATTATTAATCAATCTAACCATAAATAAGAATAGGGTTTTATAATGATAAGCTTAAAAGCAAGTAGATATTTGCTAATTTGGCAAGAGTAATTAATATAATTATATTAAAGTTTACTTTGATTTATTCGTGTCCAGTTAAAAGAGAATTATATAAAATAAAAGCTTAAGTAGATTAAAATTCTGAGATTAAGGCATGGACAAATTTATTAAAAGATACATTTTAAAACTAATTGCAACTAAATAAGATAAATAATATTCGAATATGGTGTCCAAGACATAAGACATTTAATGCAGACCTATTAATAAAATAAATTTAGAAAACATAAAAAGTAGATGGAGATATTTTAAATGATCATATTATGGTATATCAATTGTAAAGTTAAAGAGATAATTGTTTAATAATTGATTTTTAATTGAATGATTGGTAATTTAAGAAATTTGAATAGACTATTTAATATGACAATTAACTTTTATTAGAGAAAACTTTGATAGGTTGTGGTAAAATAGTTTGTGAATTTCCTTAATGCAAAATAAATAATGGATATTTAGATTTAGGATTTGAAGAAGAAGATATTAAAGGAATATGTTAAATTTTGATTGAAAATGAAGAAGTAAAATGGGAATTAATGTGTTCAAAATCAAAAAGTATCATAGATAACTTATTACCATTTTAATAAAGAGAATACGATCAAGTTAATTATTTAATGAGGATCTCTTAATCTTTAGAATTATTTGGAGTTTCATTTAAAAAAAATTTCAATAAAAATTAAGGAGCATATGTGATTGATGAAGAAAATCCAGAAATAAATTCATAATTAATTTTTCATACAGTTATAATGCTAAATTATTAGAATGAAAGTTTTATGCAAATAATAAAGAATTTATTTTAAAGAAAAGTGCAAGATATTGAACCATTAACAAATTTATATTAACTTAGAGCTCTTTATTTAATTCTATAATTTAAATAATTTCTTTATTTTATTTTAGATGAAAAATCTTAAATAATTTTGACAATTATAAGAAGATTAAATTAATAATAAATATATTAATTATCAAAATGGTTTAATACACTTGAAAAATTTGAACTAATATAATCTTAATAAATTATAAAAAAGTTAATTGAATAATAAATACATCTATAAAAAAATGCACCCATTAAACCACTTTTAGAAATTGATGATATTTATAAATTAAAAGGACTATTTGAATTATATAGTGTGATTTACATGTCAAATCTATAGAACCATAGAATCAATACATCTGAATTTATTATTAGTTCAATACAATAATTTTACAAAGTTGAAGCAGATAGAGAAGAATTCACTTAATTTTAAATGTTCAATTAAAAAGTTTGGAGAAATTATTCATTTACTTTTTGTCAATATCATTGGGCAATGCCAATTGAATTTAAATCTAGACTTCTATAAATTGAATGTAAAGTGAAGTAGTACGACAATAGAAGGAGTGCTTATGGACTTTTCCCTTAATTTGTATCCTTAACTATAGAAAGAGATAATATAATTGAGTCTGCTATTAAATAATTATAATAAACTGAGGTTTCTCTGAAGAACCCTTTAAAAGTTTAATTTGTAAATGAATAAGGAGTTGATGAAGGAGGACCAAAAAGAGAATTTTTTAGATTGATTATGGAAAAGTTGGTTACTCCAGATTATGGTATGTTTTTACCAAAGAATAATGATACAGTAATTTGGTTTAATCCTTAATCTTTTGAGATTCCAATCTATTATTCTTTGATTGGGAAGCTCTTAGGATTATCTTTATATAACTCTGTATTATTAGATGTTCGATTTCCAACAGTATTATTCAAGAAATTACAAAGAGAAAAGATTAAAGAAGAGGATTTAAAGGAATTAGATATGGAGACTTATACTGGATTCTAATTTCTAAGAGAATAGACAGATCCAAATTTAGTCGAGAGTTTAGGTCTTACATTTAGTGGTACATACAAGGTTTGGGGATAAAATTATTTTGAAGATTTAAAGGTAGTTATAAAATAGATGAAATATAGCCTAATGGATTTTAAATTCCTGTTACAATAGCAAATAGAGAAGAATATATATAGTTGTATATAGATTGGTATTTGAACAAATTAGTATCGAAATAATTTGATTTGTTGAATGATGGATTTAAAACAGTTGTTGATGGGGATGGTATAAAAGTAAAAAATTGATTATATTAATTTACAATAGCTATTTACAGGTGAAGAATTGTAGTAATTGATTATAGGTTTGCCAACTTTTAATATGAGAGATTTGGAAGCATCAACTAAATATGATGGATATGAAAGGGATTCAGAATATATAAGGTATTTATTTTAATATAAATAAATAAGATATTTTTGGAATTTAATATTTTCATTGAATTTTGAAATGCAAAAAAGATTTTTATTTTTTTGCACAGGATCAGATAGAATACCTGTTGGAGGACTAAAATCTATGAAATTTGTTATTTAAAAACATGGACAAGGTATATATATAAATTATTATTTTAATATATAGATACTGAATAATTACCATCAGCTCATACTTGTTTTAATGTACTATTATTGCCATAATACAAAAATAAGGAAACTTTAAAAGAAAAATTAAAAATCTCTTTAGATAATGCTGAAGGATTTGGTTTGATGTGATTTTTGATGTTTCATCATTTAATTATTATCTAAATAGTTTGCATTTCATAAAACTAAGTTTATTATTTCATCATCTAGTGACTAGAACTATACAAAAAAATTAAATATTATAATATGAATGCTGATGTAAGTTCTATTCAATTGACTGAAATAAGTCCTCCACTCACTTCCTAAAAACCTAGGAAGGATGCTTTCAATAATCCTATTTTAAAGGGCAACAGTTCCCATAAAGTTATTTTTAGAGATCAAGCAAATAATGGTCCATTAGTCTAAATCCACATTGTTGAAAATTTTAAAGAATATAATTTGGAAGAACCCCAAATGAATAAAAAAACTTAGATTTGTAATTGTGCAATAATTTGAAAACTGATTGATTGTTTAATATGATAATGACTAAAAAATTATCTATATAAAATATAAGCTTTCCTTTATGTATGATATCTTTGACTAAAATATTGATTAATAATGAGATCTGGAATTCTAAGTGAAATAGTTTATATTCTTATATTTCATAGATATATTAATATATAAACTATCCACTTTAGACAATGTTTGCAATTATGGAATATTGTGAATTTGATATATAATATTATTGTATTATTTTTTATAATAAGATTTTTGTTGATTATATATTTACTTTGCTTAACAATCATATCATTCTATTTAATCTTAATATTAATTAAAGTCTACAAGATTGAATGAACAAATAATTATTTACAATTTTGCGCTTTATTATATATTTTAAACACATTAACTTTAATTATAATTACTTATTTACTTTTAATTTTATTAAATTATTTAATTCACTATCTTGCCACATTATTTTTCTCTAATGCGATTAAATATTATTAAATTTTTGTTTTTTATTTTATATTCTCAATTTCAAAACTAATGTTGTTTATTTAATTTTGTTGATTGAAGTGAAACTATAATAATACTTATTATTCTTATAACAATTGTATAAAGTATCAAAATAAGATAATATTTTAAAGTGGTTGATAGTATAAGATAATCAAAATAGATATGAATAACATTTCTAGATATTATTAAATACAAATGTTAAGTTAAATAATAACCACGTTTTAACAATTTATGACTATTTAAAATTTATATTTAGAATAGATTTCAACTTATTTTTTATTACATAAAATAGACTTTGAAATAGATCTTATTATATTAGATTTAAAGCTTATCCATAATCATTAATTTTGGAATTTAATTAAATTAGTATATTAAGTAAAATTAATTACTTTTTATTCACTAATTAAGTATTGTCTATCCTATAGATATCTCTATAATTTGAATTATAAAATATTATTTAATACGTGAATACATAATATTTTTTATTTAGAATTCCAAGAAAATAATTTTACATATAAATATACTTTAATTTCTAATATTCAGCAGATCCATACAACCAGAATATTAAGTTTAAATAAATGATCTTAATTCTGCTTTCTATAAAATATTAAATAATTAATTAGATTCTTAAAAATTCTGATGTAATATAATTTTAATAAATATATTAAATTGATTTAGGGGGATGTCAAATTACATAATAAAATTTATATTATGAAAAATATTTTGAATAGATACTCCTATTCTGAGAATGAGGAATTAGGAAGAGGAGCATTCGGGAGAGTATATAAAGGTGTTGATTCAAAGACTAATAAACCTGTAGCAATAAAAAGTACTCATAATTTGAATTTTAGTTATGAACTTAGATGGTTTATAAGATTAATAGATGATTGAAAATTTCAAATAAGAAATGAGTATAATGAAAGAATTTAATCACCTAAATATTGTTAAACTTTTAGACTTTTAAATGGATCCATAATAAAATGTATATATAAGAAATTCGGTTAGATTGTTGTGTTTGATTACTGTGAAGGAGGAGATTTGTCAAAATTTTTAGATAAAAATGGTTCTATGCTTGATGAACAGGCAGCCACTTAAATATTAATTTAAATTGTTAATGGATTTAGAGAAGTCATAGCTAAAGGATATATTCATCGTGATGTTAAGCCTGCCAACATTTTAATTTAGAATGGAATTTTTAAGTTAGCTGATTTTGGATTTGCTACAAAAGTAGCAATGAATGAAATACTTGATTAATAAGTTGGAACACCATTATATATGGCTCCATAATTATTAGAAAACACTCCTTATACTTCTAAATGTGATATTTGGTCATTAGGGATTATAGCTTATGAAATGATTTATGGTAAATAACCATGGTCATGTAGAGACATGAAATCTTATTTAAAAAATATTAAATGTTATCCTCTTAGATTTCCAATAGACAAAGCAGTTTCAGAATAATATAAAAGTATAAATATTTGTAATATTAAGATTTTGTTAGATTATGTTTAAAAATTGATGAAAATTAAAGAATAGGATGGAAAGATCTCTTTGAACATTCTTTGCTTGATACAAGATAATTAACATAAAAGACTTTTGTAAATATTCATAATAAATTAAGAAAATAATATAAATTGATGATGAAACTAAATAAATACTTAGAAATATATAATATATTGCTTATATAAGATAATTAAAGATCGAAGAACAATTTAACAAATATGATATAGATAAAGAAGGTAATTTAGATTTTAATGAATTCTTTTAATTTATTTTAAAAATTGATCCTTCTATTACTTCAAATGAGACTTCAAAATTATTTAATTACTTAGATCAATAAAAAAAATAAAAAATCAATTTAAATGAATTTTAGATTTTGTTTAATGGAAATGATTTTTCAGATCTTAAAAATTTTGCATAAAGAATAATATAAGATTTAAAGGAGATCATTGCTAATAATAAATTAAATGTAGATTAAATATTTCATTTTTATGATGAAGATAAAGAAGGAGATTTAAAACTTGATGAATTTAGTAATCTTATATTAAGAATTGCACCTGCTTTAAAACCAAAAGAAATATTGATAGTAATATTATTTATATTCTATAATTTAAGGTATTTACTGAATTTGATAAGGATAATAATAATTCCATAAGTTTAGAAGAATTTAAAAAGATTATTTGTCCTTAAGGATAAAACTATGAAAAACTTAAGTTATAAGTATTTAATATATATATGATTAAAATAGAAATTACAATAAGAATTAGTTAAACAAATAAAAAACAAAAATTTAACAATTGAAAACATTTTCAAAACATTCAATATAAGCAAGACAAATAAAATGAATTATGAAGAATTTGCAACTTTATGCAGAGATCTTATTAAAGTTATTACAGATAATGAGATACAATAAATGTTTAAAACAGCAGATAAAAATTAAGATTAATTTATTAGATATGAAGAATTTATCAATTTTTTTAAATGAATTTGATTAATATTTATTTTATGTAAACATTATAGAATAGATATTAATATTATGAGAAAGATTTCTTAGGTCGTGGTTCTTTTGGAAAAGTTTACAAAGGAAAAGACACTTAGACTGGAGAAGCTGTAGCTATAAAAAGTATTATGGAGTATTTATAATTTAGTTATGGATATGACTTTATTTGATGATTAATTCATGATTGATGCATTAAATAAAGAAATAGCAATAATGAAACAACTTTAACATCCAACTATTGTTCGACTTATTGAAACGTTTGGTGATTCAAAATAAACTGTAAAAAAGTATCAAATCTCTTTATTAGGTATTAGTTATTGAACTATGTGATGGTGGTGATTTAAGACACTGTTTAAGTAGACATGGAGGAATGCTTGAAGAAGCTTTAGCTTAATAGGTTTGCAATAATTAATGGTTGGATTCTAGGAGATGATAAATGGTGGATATATTCATAGAGATATTAAACCAGAAAATTCACTTATATATAAGAATGTAAATAAAGTTGCTGATTTTGGATTTGCTACTAAAGCTGATATTACAGGTAGATAATAAATTAGAGATTGTGTTGGAACTCCAATTTATATGGCACCATAATTACTTCAAAATATTGCTTACACAGCAAAATGTGATATTTGTTCAATTGGAGTAATGGCTTATGAGATGCTTTATGGTAGATAACCTTGGCCTTGTAGAGATATCAATTCATATCTATTAAATATTAAATAATCTCCATTAAAATTTCCTATTGAGAAAAAAAAGTATCAGAATAATTCAAAGATTTTATTAGAAAATTTTTAACTATTGATGAAAATTTAAGAGTGAGTTGGAATGAGGTTTTTAAACATGATGTATTAAAGATTTCTTAAGAAGATAGAAAATATATAAAAAATATATATATATAGAGGATAATTTTTAAGTTGATGAGATTTCTAAATAAATATTAGCAAATATTTAAAAGATTATTTAAGCAAAGAATCTTAATGTTGAATAATAATTTAAAATATTTGATTAAGATAAGGGAGGTCACTTAGATTTTAATGAATTTAATAATTTTGTTTAAGCTTTAGATCCAAGAGTAACTCATAAAGAAGTGGAACATTTATTTAAATTAGTAGATAAAAGTGGTGATCATAAGGTAAATATTGATGAATTTAAAAATTGTTTTGTGATTATGATTATTCTAATTTAAAAGATATTGCTGAAAGACTTATTGTTGATCTTAAAGAAATTATTAAAGCTAATAATTTGAGAATAGAAGAAGATATTTTTAAGAATTTTGACAAAGTTAAATAAGGAGATTTAGATTTTGAAGAATTCACTAAATTATGTCGTACTGTAGCTCCAGCATTGAAAAATGATGAGATTCAAGTTGTGTTTAAAAAATTTGATAAAAATAATGATCAAAAAATAAGCTTTGATGAATTCAAAAGAGAACTATCTTATGGAACTGATTAAGATTCATAGTTTAATCCAGCCAAAGAAAAAGCAACTGTATTTATATATAATATTTCTAGAAAATTCTTTCTGAATTAGTGAGAATAGTAAAATAGAATAATGTAAAGGTTGAATAAATATTCTAAAATTTTGATAAGAATAAAAACTAAAAGTTAGAACTTGCTGAATTTTAATAATTATGTAAAGTTATGGATAATACATCAACACTTGAAGAATAAACATTTGTTTTTAAACTTGTTGACAAAAATTAAGATAATTTAGTCGATTTTTAATAATTTTGTTAATTATTCAAGTGAAAATATATACAAAAACATATGAATCAATTAAATTAGTATTCAATATATAGTTAAGTGGTTCCCAATAGAAAGTTTTATAAGTTTTAAAGTTCAATTTATTCATTTTGTTGTATTTTACAAGACACTTACATTGAATTTGCTTAATATTGTGCTTCTCCATTAGAATCTTGATAAACTACTCCATAACAAATTCCATTGATCATTAAAGTTTATCTATTTTTTGTCAGTTAAATTGAACTAACTTCATTTAAGCCATTTGAAAATTATATAACTTTTCTTTGTTTATCAAAATTTACAGAATATTAATTAATTCTTATCACTTTTTCCATTTTTACAATTTATCTTTCTATTAACTAATAAATAATATGATGTTAATCATTATTTTTCAAAAATATTTTATTATCTAAAATTATTAGTTCTGCATCTTATTTTTTACCCTTTATTTGTATATTAATATTATTTGGTTGAGTATTAAATTGGAATCTTTATTAAATAGGATAATTCTATTAATATTGAATCTCTTTTTGCCATAATTTATAATTCGCTAAATTCTTTATTTGAATATTGCAGGTTCTAAAATTATCTTTGTAATCTACAATTTCAAAATCATCATCACAATTTTAGAGTAAACATAAAACACTCATTTAAATTTATTATTGTTCATTTCTATTAATAATTAATGTCATAAATTAGTTTGATAGAATTTGATTTAATAGACTTAAAACTTTAACATTTCATATGGTATATATATGAAATCTATTTCTATAAGTAGGATGTTAATATTTAGTTTGATTTAAACACTCCAAACATTCCAAGTATTTTAAACAAAAGAAAATAAATAAGGAATTTCCAGAAATTTAAACTTCTCTTCATATTTTACTTAATCATATTATTAATTATTTTATATTCTAAATAACTAATAATAATGTAAAACATGTGTATAAGATAAATAAATATTTATTATCAATGTAAAATAAATAGTGAAAGTTAAAGTTTTTATAGTTATTTATTTATAAATATACTCTCTAATATTATTACAAAAAATTAGGAGAAATGCGTAAAAACAATTTATTAAAATCATTCATCACTAATCCAATTAGATAATTTGCATCAGAAAAATTTGTACCATTCAATTTTAAAGATCCTTTAAACTTAGAAAGTTAATTAACAAGTGAGGAGAAGCTTGTAAATTAAATCATTATTTATTAAGATTAGAGATTAAGCAGCCAATTATGCACAATCATAATTATAACCAAGAATAAAAGAGGCTTTTAGTAAAGAACATTTCGATCCAGAAATATATAAAGAGATGGGAAAATTGGGATTTTTAGGATGCACAATTTCAGAATATGATCTTTCTGGAGTTTCTTATACAGCATATGGTTTAATAAATAAAGAAATTGAGCGTGTGGATTCTGGTTATAGATCTGCTCTTTCAGTATAAAGTTCTTTAGTGATACATCCAATATATTAATTTGGATCAAAGGAATTGAAAGATAAATACATTCCAAAATTAGCTAGTGGAGAATATGTTGGTGCTTTTGGTTTAACTGAACCTGATCATGGTATATTAGTAAATTTAGTTAAATTATAGGTTCTGATCCTGGTTCAATGAAGTCTCATGCAAAGAAAAAAGATAATTATTATATATTAAATGGTACTAAGAGTTGGATCACAAATTCACCAATAGCTGATGTATTTGTGGTTTGGGCAAAAGATGAAAAGGGAGATATTAGAGGATTTGTATTAGAGAAGGGAATGAAAGGTCTATCTACACCAAAAATAGAAGGAAAGTTATCTTTAAGATCTTCAATAACAGGATAGATTATTATGGACAATGTAAAAGTTCCATAAGAAAATATGTTTACATCAGTAAAAGGATTGAAGGGTCCATTTTCATGTTTGAATAATGCAAGATTTGGAATAGCATGGGGAACTTTGGGAGCAGCTGAATTCTGTTTTCATCATACACGTTAATATGCTTTGGATAGAAAATAATTTGATGCAAATTTAGCATCTTTCTAATTAATTTAAAAGAAATTTGCTGAAATGGTTACTGATATTGCTTTAGCCTAATAAGCAGTATTATAAGTGAGCAGATTAAAGGAGAATGATCAATTAGCAACAGAATAGGTTTCATTAATTAAAAGAAATTCATGTGGTAATAAAAATGATTATTATAATTTATTAGCAATTGCTTTAAAGATAGCAAGAGAATGTAGAGATATTATGGGAGGAAATGGAATTAGTGATGAATATTAAGTGATTAGACATATGGTTAATTTAGAGACAGTTAATACATATGAAGGAGCATCAGATGTTCATGCATTAATTTTAGGTAGAGGAATAACAGGAATTTAAGCATTTAGTAGAGCATTGTGAGTAGTATATATATATATAAATTATTGATTTCACAATTACAATAAATTTATATGGGAAATTCCAAATCTAAAGAGATCACTAAACATGCTAAAGTTGCTTTCACACCTGAATAGCTATAATAATTAGAAAAGTTATTTGCAGGTCTAAATGGAGGCAAAGATCTTATGGAAAGATCTTTTATACCTCATTTTCCTGAAAATCCAGACTTTTCGATCAAGTTATTCAATTGGATGGTCGAGAGAAGTCATAATCATAAGATTGATTATACAAACTTTGTTATATTATGTAAGTTCTAATTATCATAAATTAGTGGAGTTGCTACTTAAGGAATTGAAGGATTACTATCTTAGTGATTATAAGTTTAGAAATTTAGAAAAGTTTGAATTATTTGCTTTGATAAGTTTGGAATGTTTAGAAAATGATAAGGATTCCATTAACAGGTAGTTAATAAATAATAGTTATTTTAGATTTACTGTATCATACTCATAAGGAAGTATTGTTATAAGGGAATTATTGAATATATATTAAGGAGGTTAAATAACTAATTCTTAAAGAAATGATTTAGCTGCTAGATCAGTTACAAATACTATATTTGATTAAAAAGATGAAATGCCATTTAATCAATTTGTAAGTATGGCCAAAGCTTAATTGATATATGCTAACAGATTGTGCAAATATTATTTTAATATGAAATTTTTAGGAGAGTAATCTCAAATTGAAATACCAAAATTGAACACTTCTAGTTTTATCTTGAATGATTAAGTGTTAGCATTACTTTAATTGAGTTCTCCTGATTTTAGTAAAATCAAATAATTATAATTACAATTTTCATCATCTGTGAGTGATGATGATTTAGATCATATTGCAGATATAGTAGTTAATACTTAAAAACCATTATTATTCATATTCAGAAATAGAGAAGATGAATGTAAATATTTATTATCAATCTTATATAGCCTAAAATGATACATTCTAATAATAAGTATTTGGAGCTTATATTTCAATTGATCCAACACTCGAAACTCATTATATTAGGAGAAAACTTAAGGATCCTATGAATATCTTATACAGTGATAATGATCCTAAGAGTCTCTATTTCGGTGATGAAAAGAGCTTCTTATTCTCATTGCTTCCAAAATATTAATTATTTATGAGTACTTTTGATTAAAGATCAAAATAATGTTTCGCTTATCTAAATAATAAATCTTTTAGGGTTGATTAACCATTGGGATTAGCTTTTGGAGGAGATGGTAAAGGAAATCATAGAATTTGGCTTGATGAAAATCTTAAGGGAAATGCAACTTGCAGAATCAATAACTAATGTGATCTAACCTATGAAATGGGCTATCTATTAGAACCACATATAGAATTCCTCAATGTAAAGCATTTATATTTATTATACTAAGTTAACATGCATAGAAATTTGGAGTGTTGAAGAGAAGGAATTAAACCCAATTTTACAAAGTAAAATAATAGAAGCAAATAAAGAAGATATGTAATAAAAAGAAGTTGAACAACAGAAATAAAGTGCAATTGAATAAAAATGATAGAGTAAATACACTCTAATAAATATAGTAATCCTATTTGATATAAAGAGAATAATTATTTTCTTTCTCATCTCTATCTTTAATGCATTCTTTCTATCTATTTTTTTAAAAGATATTTTTAAATACAAATTGAAATTCAAAGTTACTTAATATTTTCATATTTATTATAATATTATTTCATTTTTAAACTATTATAAATTATGAATAATAATTCACCTTTTGAATTTCTTTTAATAATACCTAAATTATTTTATATATTGTTGAAAAACATTATAAAAATTTAATTGATTTTACTAAAATAGGAAGAGACATATAAATAAGATTGACTTGTTGAACATAGAGAAAACAAAAAGAGAATTTTCATTGATTCCAATAAAAAATCAATTGCTTTATAAATTTGAAACAGAATTTATAGCAGAACCATGGGATGCACCAATTATCCCTTTAAATTAGATAAAGTAGAATACCTAATTGATATGATTTAAACAACCAAAATCTCATATACAACCTAGATAATAAAAGATTGCAAGTAAAATTCTATGAAATATAAATATAATTAAAACTATATCATTTTTTCTTTGTTAATATTTTCTCTGCTTCTTATAATAATTATGAACCATCTAATCTTGTATTCCAATTTAATTTGTATTATTCTAATACTTTTTCAATTTATTCTTCATCTTTTTCATTGATCTTTTTGATTTCTTATTCAGGTTAGATTTCATCTTCTAGATGTACTTCTACATCTTTAAAATTGAATTCATCTTCTTCTTAGATAGAATCTTTATCTTCTTCTTTTTCAATTTAAACTGGATTCTCTCCTTTTAATCTACTAAATATATTGACTTCTTGATAAGTGGTCATTCTTAATTCATATAATGAATAATATCTAAATAAAGATAGGTTGATCACCTGTAAAAATAATTTGTCATAAATTTATTGAATTCTATAATGTGTTCTTAAGTAAAAATGGGTAAATTATGTGTATTTGTCAATAATATTTTAGGTCTAAGTAATCTTTTGAATATTTCATATGAATCAATTTATGTGATTTTACGTTCTAAACTTTCTACAAATATATAAAATCCTAATGACATAAAGGTTGATTTTTATTCAAATGTATAATTTTTAAGATAATGATACATTTACAATAAGTATTCTGAAAAGACAGCCAATTTACATTATTATTAAGATTCTTCTGTAGCCTAGTAATATATTGATATGTAATATACTTTTGATATTGTTTAAGTCTAATAATATTAAAAAGAGATGAGTTCATAAACTTGGAAATTGAATACTCCTCCTTTTTTGTGTCCTATTTCAAATCGAATGATGACAGTTTTAAGAAATTCTTTTTATTGATTTTATGTTTCCAAAGAGGCTAATTTAATGATGTCTTTTCTGGTAACAAATGAATCATAGAAAGAGTAAGATTTATTAGAATCAAGCTTAGTCTTCTTTTTAGTTTGATGTCTATTGGAATTAGTGTCTGGAGAACTCATTTATTTAATTAATTTAATGTCAGACACAGAGAATATTGATATAACAAATCTTAGTGAGGGAAAGGTTGAAAAGTATATACAACAATTAGAGAATTCTATTCTTAAGAGAACAACAATGTATGGTTTAAATGATGTAACAGTAAGTGATTGAAATTAACTAAATTATTAGATGATGAAATAGAATCATATATTGTGTAAATTATTGAATCAACAAGGTCTAATAGCATTATAAAAATAAAATTATGAATAATGTATAGAATATTTACGAAAGGCTGAATTGGCAACTATTTATGTTCCAGAATTAAAGGTTTGATTTAACGATAACATAGGTTTAAACTTTTAATAATTTGGCTTGTTATTATAGAAAGATGGGTAAAACTAGAACAGCTCTTTAATATTTACAATAGGCATTATCAATTGAATTATAGTATTGATAATCTTATATTAGATAAAAACAATCCACTTCACTTCCTGACATTTACTTAAATTTATGTGCAGTACTTTCTTAATTAGAAAGACATGAAGAAGCCATATAACACATTTATTTATCAATCATTATGTTACAACATGAATTACTCATTTCTACTTTCTAAAAACCTGAATAAAGATAAGATTAACTCAATGAATAATGTATTTCTAAATATACAATATTAAGTATTCCCATCAAGATAATCAAGTGTATAATATGTTAATAGTGTTAAATCACATTGTAATGAAACTAAAAAATAATAAGAGAGAATGTCTATATTAGTTGTTGCATATCATAATTTAGGAGTTGAAATGGAACATCTAAAATTATAATTTGAATCCAAGAAGATATTTTAATCTGCTTTATTATTATCAGAATAGTGTTTACCATAAGAACATCAATTAAGACATACTCTAGAAGAAATCATCAAAAAATATAATACTGAGTAATAATAATTGGTAAATGAGTAACTTACTCTTAAACCGCTACTTCCTAAAGTTCATCAAAAAAATTAAGAACTTAAATAAATATATAATAGTGTCTCTCCTAAACAAATTATCAAAAGAAATACCTAATTATAATAAATGAAAAACAATTAATATAAGAATTTCAAATTCATGAAAAAAAATTCATATACTGAAACATATAGACTTGAAAGAGATAGAATAATGAGTATCAATGCAACAACTGATGTTATTATCAAAAATTAAGAGAATAAAGACATAAGTAATCTTCCATTTTTAAAAACAGCCTTAGATACCGTTAATTAAACAACTATATTTTGAAATTATTATACTTAATTTATTATTCAATATTAGATATATTAAACTCTTTAAGATTCATATCTATAATTATAAAGATCTATCTTTTTAAAAGAATAGTAATACTATATATATATATATATATATTAATACCAATTTTTATTTATGGATTTACCATTTTAATTAAAATACTTTATATTAGATGCTTACCGAACCAAATATTGATCGTAATTTCGTTGAAGATTAAATTAAATTGTTGTAAAGAGATATTAATTGTATTATCGATTAAGTGAGTGATCTTTCTATTATTTTAGGATAGAAATCTGAGGAAATAAGGATTGTCAAAACTTTAAGATTTCTTTAAAGTTAAATCAAATCCTTCAGAGCGCATTTATATTTTTGATGCTTATACACTTAAGAATCTATTAAGAGTATTTGAAGATCAAGTAGAAAGAAATAGAGAAACTGCTATTAATATAGTATTAAATTATCTTGATCTTCATAATTAACAATTTAATACAGAGTCTCTTAGACTAATTATTGATACAGTTATTAATAGACTCAATCAATTACCATTTGCAGAAACCAGTGAAGAAATACGATTATCATTAATAAAATTGTTACATTAAATCTAAGTGAAACATATTGATGCCTATACAAATAATCTATAAAAATTAGCACATATGATAGGAAAGGCTCTATAAGACAATTTCCCTGAAGTTAAAAAAGTACATTAATATATAATATTTTAGGATGCAGCTATATTTGCAGCTGAAATATCAAAAAAATTACCAATTGGAGAATTTATGGGAGAAGCAGTCAAATCTCTAAATTTTAATATGTAACATGCCCATACGAAAATTAGAAAGGCTACAGTTGATGTAAAAATTCATTAAATATCTTTAAGAGTATAGCTCCAATTCTTTTAAGTAGAACTAATGGAACATTCCTAGAGATTGTATTGAATAATTTAAGGAATCTCTCATTAGATAAATCATCTGATGTAAGAAAAGGTACTTTGATTGCAGTTGCAGAATTATTAATGCACTTTTCTATACAAAATTTGAATAATTTTGAGAACAATCTAATCCTTATCTTAATGAACAGTTTAAGTGATGATAGTAAAGAAATATAAAATTTATCAATGTAACTTTTAGATTAGATTGGAATTAAGAGGTAAAAATTAGATGAAGAAGCCAATTTATGATATATTTTAAAATTGTAAATACTAATGTGCATATGTTTATAAATAATTAATACAATAAGTATTAGATTTCTATCTAAATACATTCATTGTTAATCAATAATATTTAATTAAAAAAAATAAATAAAAATTAAACTTTTTCACAAAAAGTATGTTGTTAAAGTATTGCATAAATTATTAAAATCTAATAAGGAAGCTCTTAAAGTTTCCAATGTATTATTGGTTACTGTTTATTCAGTCTTACTTTTTTCAACTAACATTTATGCCATCACTTTAATTACTTCTTATAATTCTTCATTCCCAATTCTATAATTAATATTATAATTTACCTTGAATTTAATTTTTCTTTCTTTTCACTTAAACTATCTATATATTAAGGACTATGTGCTTATTATATTGAACCTACAGATAAATCAGTATTTTAAATAAGAGACACTTATTTCTTTTTCATTTATGACATAAATTTATCTACAGCATTTACATCATTAAAATCAATTTAAAATTGTATTTCATCTAAATGTGATCTTGGGCTTTATACATCAAACTATTAATTAATTTCACTTAAATCATCATAAAGTGAAACAGTATCTTTCTTTTATTGTTTTTCACTAAAAGAAAAGACAGAATCTTATCTACTTTTTGACATTCTCAATTATTACTATATCTTCTTACCAGATTAACTGAATTTAGGTAATTAATAATCTATTTCTGATGAATTATCTTCTTCTTCATCACATTCAACTATTGCATTATGTTAACTTTATCTAGAATTTATAAATAAACTTTCAACTAATTAAGCATTTTCTTATTTAGAAAATGATTTCATCTAAAGTTTTAAATCACTATCTGGAGCACGACTACTAATATCATCTGATTCAAAAGAATTTAATTCTACTTAAAATATCATTTTTTCTAAAACATTTCTAACAACTTCTTAACACATTGTTTCTTCCATTCTTTATAAAGATTATTATGATCTCTTTGAAAATGATTCCATTTAAAATTTTAATTAATCTGCTTCCTTCTATTACTTTGTACATTTTAATTATAGTTCCTCTATAAAGTTTTCTTTTACTTTTAATTAAGATTATAATTAATCAATATAATCTTCCAATTATTATATTCTAATTTACAATTCAAAAACAATTTATCCTTCATTAACACCAGAAACAGTAATTGATTTCTTCAATTCAATATCAAAATTTTATTCATTTACATATGATTAATTAGCTTAGTATTCAACTTTAGAATTATTTAAATATTAATTGTAATTAGTATATTATGAACTTTTGCTTTATTAAATTTATTGTAAAAGTTCATTATTTTTTTCAATTAATTGTTATACTTATAATTAATAATCAGCATTTTTATTAATAAGCATTTAATTATCATGATTTAATTATTTAAGCTTTTATTAATTAATTGTCTAAATAGTAGAATATTATTCTTTAATTAGAGTAATTTATTTTTAAATTTCAAAATATTCTACTTAAATTTTATTAAGATGTTCATTTTTTGTATCTAATTCTTGTTAATAGGTAAATTCATTTTATTATTAATGTTCTTATTACTTTTTTAATTTGATTTCATTTTATTCAAGCCTTTTTGTAATTTCATTATTGATTGTTTCAAGATCTTTAATTTAAATTAATAATTAAGATTATTCTTATTAAAATACTTCTTTTTATTTTTGTATATATTCATCAAGTTATTAATTACTATATATTAATTATTACTCTTATTCTTTCCATTAAGATAATTCATATTTGTATTATTTAACTTATAAAATAAGTTCCTCATTTCGTTATCTATATTCTACTATATTATTATTTTCTTTTTCTTATTATTAAAATTCTAATCTTTTTACTTCTTCTAATTTATTTGCATATTATGATGTAATCTATTATAATTCTGATCTCCACATTTAATTTTATTTTTCCTTTGATATTTTAATTACATCATTATTTTTGGTAGATAAGTAAGAAGATTATTTAAGTTCTTAAATTTCTTTATCCTTCATTTCTAATTTCTATTGTAATTAATTAATAGTATCTGCAAATTCATTCTTCTATTATATTAATAAAATTGTATTACATTTGTTAAAGCTTCCTCTAATTCATTCTCTAATTACTATTAAACATTCTTAAACTCTTCTATTTCTTATTCCAAAGATTGTTCTCTATTTTTGTAATCTTCCAATTCTTACATAACTTAACCTAATTGTTTTTTAAGTTCTTCATTTTCTTATTCTTATTCTACCATCATATTGTCAATTTCTTCTAAAAATGCTTTATGTTCTTCTTCAGCTTTTTCTAATTTAGCTTTATATTGATGATCTGAACTACTAAGATTACTGTTACTAGATTCCATTCTTACTTATTAGAGATATTTGATTTATTATTATTCCAATTTTTATATGANATTAGCTTAGTATTCAACTTTAGAATTATTTAAATATTAATTGTAATTAGTATATTATGAACTTTTGCTTTATTAAATTTATTGTAAAAGTTCATTATTTTTTTCAATTAATTGTTATACTTATAATTAATAATCAGCATTTTTATTAATAAGCATTTAATTATCATGATTTAATTATTTAAGCTTTTATTAATTAATTGTCTAAATAGTAGAATATTATTCTTTAATTAGAGTAATTTATTTTTAAATTTCAAAATATTCTACTTAAATTTTATTAAGATGTTCATTTTTTGTATCTAATTCTTGTTAATAGGTAAATTCATTTTATTATTAATGTTCTTATTACTTTTTTAATTTGATTTCATTTTATTCAAGCCTTTTTGTAATTTCATTATTGATTGTTTCAAGATCTTTAATTTAAATTAATAATTAAGATTATTCTTATTAAAATACTTCTTTTTATTTTTGTATATATTCATCAAGTTATTAATTACTATATATTAATTATTACTCTTATTCTTTCCATTAAGATAATTCATATTTGTATTATTTAACTTATAAAATAAGTTCCTCATTTCGTTATCTATATTCTACTATATTATTATTTTCTTTTTCTTATTATTAAAATTCTAATCTTTTTACTTCTTCTAATTTATTTGCATATTATGATGTAATCTATTATAATTCTGATCTCCACATTTAATTTTATTTTTCCTTTGATATTTTAATTACATCATTATTTTTGGTAGATAAGTAAGAAGATTATTTAAGTTCTTAAATTTCTTTATCCTTCATTTCTAATTTCTATTGTAATTAATTAATAGTATCTGCAAATTCATTCTTCTATTATATTAATAAAATTGTATTACATTTGTTAAAGCTTCCTCTAATTCATTCTCTAATTACTATTAAACATTCTTAAACTCTTCTATTTCTTATTCCAAAGATTGTTCTCTATTTTTGTAATCTTCCAATTCTTACATAACTTAACCTAATTGTTTTTTAAGTTCTTCATTTTCTTATTCTTATTCTACCATCATATTGTCAATTTCTTCTAAAAATGCTTTATGTTCTTCTTCAGCTTTTTCTAATTTAGCTTTATATTGATGATCTGAACTACTAAGATTACTGTTACTAGATTCCATTCTTACTTATTAGAGATATTTGATTTATTATTATTCCAATTTTTATATGATTTCATCTTTCATTTCAATTTCCATTTTTAGTTATAAACTTAATTACTATAAATAATATGTATTAATTCTTACTTCATAATCAACATTTTAATTAATTTATGGAGTATTTGTAACTTTCATAGCTCTCATTCCAAAAGTAAGACTAGATAGAGTTTCTTCAACATGTCTACCAGCAGGACCAATATTCACAATTAATGCAGTTTTACAATTACCACCAAGAGCATCTTATAGAATTCTAGTTAATTTAGAATCTCTAAATGGAACAAATGTAGATTTTGGACCAGTCAATGCATGAATACATTTTCCTAATGCTGTAAGTGAATAATTGATAGATCTAGCTTCACTAAGACGATCTCCTGTAGCTCTTGATTTTTTGATTCTTTCACTTCCTGCTAAATCAACAAGATATAATGTTCCAACACAATTACCTGATTATAATATACTTTCATCAGTTTCTGTTATCATATCTTAAGAATAATTTTATAATTTGGAACTTGGTTTTTTTGAAATAGTCATAGATCTTGAATGTTATTTAGATTATCTCTTCTCTACTTTGATTACAAGCATAGAATGAGATCTAGATGAATGAGCATTTAAATTAGTGAATGCAACTACTTTATTTTTTTCTGCAAAATTCATAATACTTAGACATTCTTAAGGAGATTCAACTTCCATCCATTCTAATCCTGATACAAATACACCATTATCTGGACATTCTCTTATTTTCACATCTTAATTATCAGGTCTTATTAAATCAAGTAACTAAATTTATTATCTAAACAATACCATTTCCATATATATTTACAAATAACCCAATTACACAGTGTATATGTTATTAGTGTCTGCTTGAATTTCATTAAATATTTATTCAAAAGTACGTGGAGTGATACCCTTCTCATCAGAATCCAGTTTACCCATCATGGTGTATGTTTTACCTGTTCCAGTTTGACCATAACAAAATATAGTACCATTAAAGCCTTTGATTACACTCTAAATTTATTATAGATTATTATAAGTATACTCCAACAACTCCTTTTGCTATATCATTGTAAACCTAATTTTAAGATGCTTTTGAATCAAAAATTGTATCAAATTGAAATTATCTTTTCTCAAAATCCTTCTTGACTAATATATATATATAGAAATATTTACTTATGATCAATTTTTTATTTGGATCGATAGTTTCAACACAAATGGATTTATCTTTACAAATTAATTCCTCTTCAATTAAAGGACGAAGTCGAACTGCTACTTTAACTCTTTCAGACATTTGAGTTTAAATTTAAAATAATTGAACGGTATAAATTATATATTATGAGATAACGATTAATAAATCAAGGTTTCTTTTTAGTAGCTTGAGAGTCATCTAAAATTTAATTTATAGTTTTGCTAAGTATAATAAAAACACAAACATTACTTCTTTAGTTATTGTAATTGTTTATCCTACTAATTTTTTATGATAAGTTTCTGGATGTTGTACATCTTTAATAAAGAAGTACTATTTTATGATTTCAAAATAGTAGAACTCTTATCACTAACTTTCTCCTATGAAGCATTCATATTCACTTTCTCACGACTACTCTATAAATTATATTCTTTACATGTTTTTCATCATTATGTATGAGTGTTAAGTACCAGAACTTCGTCTCTCTCTAGTTAATTGACTATCACAATTCTACTAAATCACAGAAATGCAACCTTCTTATTGATTACCTTATTATCTGTTATAAACTTGATTCCCTAAAATGTATGATTTTTTAAACAAACTAGGACTAGATTCTCTAGTTTAGTTTTGAGAAGATATCTTTCTTTCTTAACCTGTTAACAAACCTTTGTTCTTAAAATTATAAACATAATTAATACCTTTTCTATTAATTCTAACTTCTCCTTTTCCAATTAATCTATTTTCTCTTACAAACTATCAGAATATAACTTCATTTATTATTCTAACTAGTAAATTACTTAATATATTACTCTCACATGATTACGAATTTCAGCTTCTGCCTTTTATACTGCTTTTTCCAATTAATCATAATCTACTCCTTTTTATTGTTGTACTAATTCAATCAAAATTGCCACCTGTTACTTAAGAATCTTTATAATATCATCTAAATTAGGCTTGATTTCAAAGTCACTTTTGATAACCACTTAAATCTGTAAAGTTACATTATAAATTATTTACATCATGCACTATCTTAAGTAATTAGTTATTAATGTTCATATTTATTAATATCAATTTATTTTAAAATAAAGAAATAATCTAGATAATCAAAATTATTAATTTTAATTAGTATGATCAACACTCTCAAATTAAACAATTCTAGGTAACATTTATGAATGAGCTCTCAAACTTCCACTTCTATATGAATTCTTTAAGAATCCCACTCCTGTTGATCTAAAAAATCTAAATATTTTATTATTAAAAAATATACCTATATTTTTATTCTTCTAACACTATGGCTTTAATATTATTAGTTTGACGAGATTATAATTTATCAAATAGTTCTGATTTTACTGTCTATCTCATCTAAGGTTAATCATTTATTTTTGTTAATCCAAATACTGATTTAGCTGAATAATATTCTTTTGTATTTTCATCATGAAATAATTATTATACTACATCAGTAAATCTTTATCTCTAAGGAGGTTCTTTTTTACTAGGTAAAGTAGGCTTAAAGAATTTTGTTGTATTCAATTAGGTTTACTTTTTAATATTCTAAGTTTAAGTTTAGTTTTAAGTATCCTAATTTTATATCTATACATCTTCTTTATAGAGTGATGCTATATCAAATACATTATCAAACATTTGATAATATTTTAAATCAATTTAATTTAAAATATTATAACCTAATCTTTATTCGAATATAATTAATAATTTAGTCACCAATTAATGTGTATTATTGAGTCTTTGTAAATCATATTAAGATAATTATTGATATTTATTAAATTGTTTACCAAACTATATCATTTCTTTTCTTAATTTAATTAATTGTTGATTTTTTTAAAATAAATCATTTAATAATTCAATTGCTAATGTTTAACAAGTTTATTCAACAGTTTAAACTTATTCTATAGCATATAATTGAATTTTAGCCAAATAAAATTCTTTACAATCTTCTGTATTTATTATGTTATTATATTTTGAACAATGAAAACTTATAACTTATGAATATAAACAATTCAATTTATACTTTATTTCACTTGCTTAATCAAATAACTTTAACATTGTTTTATATAGATTTGCCATTCCAATTAAAATACTAAAGATAATTTTACCTCTCTCCTTCTTACTTTCATTGTATTAATAAAATTCTTTATGAAACAAATTTAATGATTCATATTAATTACTCATAATATCTTTTAATTATGCATTTTATTAATAAATAGAAAATGTCAAGAATTAAGATTTATTCATTATCTATCCAATAAGTGATCCTAATTTAACACTCTCCACACTATCACTATTAATACATACAAATATTGTCTATTTTTAATTTAATAAATAATCTCTAAAGTAATCTAATAATTCTACACTTTTAAATGGTACATCTACATGTTTTCTTCTTTTTGTAGTTAAATCAGCCATTGTTTTATATATTTATCCAAATTCAAAAGTACCACTAAATTTAACAATCTTGAGTTTAGAAATTATCACCTATTCTTTAATATCATCATTTGGACTTATCTCAGCCTTTAATTCAATAATTAAATTAGTTCGTTTATGTCTATCCACAAATTTTTGACTAAGTATATTTTATTCTTTATGAATGAGATTTACCATTGCAATTCTTAATATTTTCATTCCCAAAAGATAATTATCGATAATTACTTCTGGAATCCCAAGTAATTAATTCTAACCATTCTAAAATACTGGCATAAAGGGTTATGAATCCAATACTAATAAATCTTTAAAACCAGTTTCATCATACTCAAATGCACTCATTTTTATTGTAATGTTATTCTCCAAAAATTTCTCTTCAATAAAATTAAAGATCTCCTACATAATAAGAAGTACAAGTCCTGGATTTCTCATATTTCCAATACCTAGAGTAGCTTTACCTGAATGTCGTTCACCTAATATCTAAATCATATGAGATTCTCCAGCCAAAAAATGTGAAATCAAATCCCTAAAAACTGCCTTGTAAATGTCTTCATTAGAGTTCTTGTTTGCAAAAACTCCACTAAATTAGTACTATTAATCCTTAACTTAGACAGTATGTTCGTTAAGCTAATGAACAAGTTAGGCCTTTTCTGGTTCATCTAATTGAGGTTGCTTCAATACTAAATAGGCTTTATATGGGATATCCCCTATTTTGAAAGGTTCATTTGAAAGTAAAGATTGACGATCTTTTTTCATTATTATAAATATTATAATTGAGTAATGGAAGTATTATCATTAACTAATACTTATATGAAGGAATAAAACTATAAAACAATATGAGTTTATTAATTATAACAAAAATATTCAATTGAGAAAAAGCATGATTTAATTTAATTAACAGTAACAATAACAAATGTCTCAACTACCTCAATACACAAGTTAAACTGTTGAGTCCTAATATTTTCAGTAACCAAGTCAAATGAGCATCAAACCTTAACCAATAACATTCTATCCACCAACATTCACATAACTCTAGGGTCCATTAGCATCAGATCAAAATTATTAAATACAATAATAATAGTAATAACAATAATAATAACAATAATAATAGTAATAATAATAGTAATAATAATAATAACAATAGCAACAATAATAATAGTAATAATTATAATAATAATAATAACAGCCATAATACTAATATGATGATTAGTATATTAGATCAAGATAGTTACCATAAAATCTGTAACAATAAATGATGTAACAATAATGGAATGAATAATTTTAATAAATGTTACAAATGCATCACCATAATTATTTGCTCTAAAATTAGCTGCACAATCTTATGATAAATTAAACAGCTTAATCTGAATAGGCTAGATAGGATTTATAGATACAATAACAACAATCAATGGCTGATTTTACAAACTTGTAACCTGAAACTATTACAGAATACATACCAGTTGAAAAGAAAGTTATTGAATATGAAACTAGAAAAAAAAAAATTTAAGTCCCTGTAACACATGAAGTAACAGAATATGTACCAGTCACTACAGAAACTATTTCACCAGAAAGAACTGTTCGACTATCACCTCCTAAAGAAGTACATATGGTTCCTACTGTTGTCTAATAACCACCTATTTTACAATAAACTGTAATTCCAAGACCTCCATAATTATAAATGGTTCATGCACCTACTTAAATGACCAGAATGCCAACCGTTCCTGCTTATTAACAAGCACCATTAACTTCAGTGAGATCTTAACTTTAATAATCACCACCAAGAATTCTGAACAAACCAACTGAAATTCCTATACCACCTCCTCCTCCTCATCTTCCATTGCAACCTTTTAATTATACACCCAAAGACTTTCCAACTATGAATATGCCACCTCCTCCTCATTAATTTTAAGGATAAATCTCCTTGAATTCCCCCTAACCACCACCTCCACCATAATTTGATTCCCACTAAATTCAAGGATAAATCTCCTTGAATTCCCCTTTACCACCACCTCCTCCATAATTTGATTCTCCACTTCCACCTTATTCACATTAATTTGGTCATCCATAAAACTAATTACCTCCCCATTTATTACCTTAAGTACCATAACATTAATTCAATTAACATTTACCTCATTAACAATAACATTAAATAAACCCACATTAACCACAACATCAATAATAACCTCATTAATCATAATAACCATAATAAATACATTAACTATAATACCCATAATAATTATAATCACCACATTAACCACATTAACCATAATACTAATAGTAACCTCATTAACCACCATTATTACCTCATCCACCTTAATCTAGGCCTGCTCCATTCATTCCAGAATAATATTATAGAGATTAAATAGAAGATGAATAAGAATAACATTATTATGATATACCTCAAAGAAAACATCCAAATCATCCTGATTTTTAATAGACTTCAAAACTTGATACCCCAAATTATCATATTCCAAATTATGATAGTGAAAATGTATAAATTTTATCTATAACACTCTTAGATCAGAGATAAATAATCTGAACCCATTTAATATCCAAAAAGAGCACCCTTTATTCCAAGATCTTATGATTCTGATCTTCACTATCAAAAACCAGAATAGATTGATATACCATCTAAGGATAATTAAAAAAGAGGCATTCAAAGATCAGTCTATGAAAAACGACCATAAAATTCCCAATAAACCCTAAGAAGCAAAGAAAACTACTTTAAAGACTCTATATTCTAATGATATATTAGTATTATATTAATATTTATTATTATTAATAATGAAAACTTAAGAAAAGCCAAGTAAGTAAGGAGGATTGTACAGTTTGAATCTGGGGTAGAATAATGGTCCTTACCTTCCAAAAGACATAATGCTGACTAATTAAAAATCTCTAAAGGTTTGATAATGTAACAGCTTAGCTCCTCCAAGGAGATGAAGTCAGCAAATCAGTATCTAATGTCCTTGCTAGAGCTGGGATGGGATAGTTGTATGAACCTCCAGATATCTATGATGAGAAATCGAAATAGTTTGTAAACTTAGATGAGAAATACAAAACCAGAATGAGTGCAAGTGATAATGTAGCAGCCATGAGTACACTTTATTAAACATCAATAAAATAGCTTTAAGATTCATTAGCTGAGTATAAGGAATTAATAAAGAAGACAGAAGTAAATCAATATAATAAAAATTTAGGAAGAATTAAAAGCTATGAATGAAAAAATAAATAATGACAATATTACCAATATTAGAGAGCTATAACCTATGTTAAAAGTATTTCATGGTAAATTGAAGGAGAAATTGCATGAAGAAAAAAATGAGAATTATAAACTTATGAGAGAGATTGAAGCATTAAATAGAGAAAAGTTACAGATATAGTACTCAATAAAATAAAATTAGATAATCTATACTTTTTTCACATAAAAGAATTATGGATTTAGAAAAACTAGTTGGTATTTAACACAAGACTGAATCACTTTATGCAGAAAAAATTCATGAGGAAGAGGATATTAATGATGATGAAGATGAATAGCATTCAGATAAAGATTTAGATTCTTAAATGTCAGAATCTTAAGACTGATTTTTGTAATCAAATTAATGAATATAAATTTTTAAAATAACACTACGAATAATTATATTTAACTTATGTAATTACTCGTTTTTAAAAAAAAAATTAGAAATATTGATATATCTACTAATCTCTAAACTAAAATCTTTTATTTGATTGAAATAGATATTATTTATTTAAATTAACAAGTATTGTTAAATTGATTTTATGAAAAATATTGAGAATCTTGTAAGTTGATGTCTGTAAATATATTTTTATTTTCAAATGATAATTATTTTCAATTAGATAATTCTTAATTACTGTTTTTGATATATGAAAAATAAGAAATTATATATGAATATTTAAATCTATATTGAAAGGATGAAAATATAAATCAAGAATCCTAACATAAATTTGTGTTTTCTTCTAGTGGAAATAAGTATTATTAAATTTTATTTGTTGAAATTTCTATTAAAGTTGGCTCCATATCATGACAACCACATTTAGTTGATATTTCTTTTTCAATCTTATTGGATTTATTTAATTCATTCTTCCAAAACTTTGATGCAGTTAGTGCTATTTAATTGAAATTGTGCAAATTCATTTAGATTTTTATTAATTAAAAAACCTTTATATATTTATTTAAATGTATTTATGAAAATTAATATTAAAATAATTAGTAATAAGTATATATGGTGTAACTAAAAAATGATGATATTTGATATTATAAAATAGATTAAATAATTCACAAAGTTTAACATCATCCTAAATTTGTATAATTCATTTCAATTTATTGTTCTTATTATGTACTAGATACTTATGTTTATGCTTCAAATTTAATCCTATTAAATTAGTAAAATATTTACATCTATTTAAAATTTCTATATTTTATGAGCAATAAGAATAATATAAATAATAACAGTGTAAATAAAATAGTAAATAATCCCCTACTAAATTCATCAAAAACATTATTTGATACTATTTTTGCTTCTAATATTTATGTATTATAAAAGTATGATAGTTTTAATTTCTCATAATTTTTAGTTTTTATATTTACTAAAATAATAAAGATACTGATATACCAGTTGCTTATATTGTAGCTAATATTTTTTCATAATTATCTCCCTCATAATTAGCTCTTTAAGTCAGAGTTTGTTAAGGATCATGTTTACTTCTTCTAATAGTAAATTATTCGTATTATGCATTTTGATTACATTTATCTAATGGTGAATTATCACTTAAATTTTATTATTAATAAATAAAAGTATATGTGATACTTTCTAATACATAATTTTAACTTGACTTTTCAGATGATTAAATAGGAGAGAAATAAAAATATAATTAATTTTAAATTAAAGATATTTAAAATTCTCCACCATCTCCTGGATAGAAATGATCAATAGGTACTATAGTATCCTCTTTTATAATATCAAATCGTAATATATAAGAGACAAAATCTGATTAAGTCGTACTTTTAATAGTTTTAGTATTTAAGTAATAAATATTAGGTTAGACAGTTGAAATTGTTCCAATTAATTGTTTATTTTATATGGAATCTATTTTATTTTCATAATAGCCCATAATTAGATTATCTCTAGATGAACTCCCAAATATATTAACAATTCCTCCACATAATTAAGCTTATACAAATAATTTAGAGGGTTCTTTAATGTGAATTTCCTAAATTTATTATTCACCTACTTTGGTTCTAATTAATCTATATGATTTTGGTGTTAAAATATTAAAATCTTTGTTACCCAACATTATAAAGTATTATTGATTACTCATTTCTTATGGATTTATGGATAAAAAATATAGACCTGCTATGCTAGGTATTTATATATATGTAATTGTATCTAATTCTTGTAATACAGATATTTAAGCATTAAAGAAATCATGATAATTAGATTAAATATCAGGATTGTTATATCTATCTTATTTTAAAGTAAATGCTGGAGCACGAATGATTCTATCATGTAAAAAGCTTGTAATTTCAATTGTTATTGAATAATAATCATCATTATAATTATCAATTCTATTTGGAATAATAAAATATAATTAAGCTTATTGATGTTAATTAATTTTTAAATATTATGGTTATCCTATTTTCAATTCGATAGCTTGATTTTAATCTATGATTTCTACTTAATAAATTGTTTAAGATGTAAAATTAGAAAATACTTTGAATTCATAAACTGATAAATTATAGTTTTCTTTCAAATTACTTATACGTAAAGATCGATTGGCATTAATACCTTCACGACTTGCTACTTAATAATTCAGATGATCAAGGGTTCCATCATTTTCTTCAAGTATTAGACGTAGATTAGAATATTCCAAATCTGTATCATCTTTTTTTTCATATAAATATATTTTTCCTTTAAAAACTGTAACATTCAAATAGAAATCACCCTAATCTTTAGGAGCATATAGATATCTATCAAATTAATTAAATTTTAGTAAATTTTTTATTTCTAAATTATTTTATAATTAGATTAAAGAATCCTTTTTCAATATTGTTAAAGTTAATAAGATATCCTAATAGTTATTTTCTAGATAGATCATATATTAGCAATTTTCACAGTAATTTTCTGAAGTATTTGAAATTTCTATATAATAATCTTCCATTCTCCAATGATACCTATATATAGAATAATAAATACTCATTTTGTATAGTATTCAAGACTGATGATAATTCATTTCTTTAATAAGATTTAATATGAATTTTAGGTTTTATGTATTCATTAAGAGAATTTGAACTTATTAAAATACGTAATGTTTCAAAAGAACCAGAATTAAATTATAAAAAAGTTGTTGAATTTGAAGGTAAATGAACTCTTAATGGTTTTTAAATAAAAATAGGATAAAAACGTGCAAGTCCCATTTTAACATAAATTGACACATTTATATCTGAGAAAGCAAAAACACCTATGCTATAATAATTTAAATATTATATACTAATATGTTACTATTTGATCTGAATCGATATTTGGAGGGATTAATAAATAATCTCCAAAATTGAAACTGGATGAAAAATCATGAGATTATTAAGTAGGCATTTAATTAATACTTGCAAATATAGTTAATTTATTCATTTCAGATGAATTAATAAAAATTTGAAGTCCAGTTGATTCTTTAACATCTACAACTTTAAAATATTTAATTAAATTTTAATTAATTTTACCTGAATATATAAATTTTTCAAATAGTTTAACTGCACCAGATTATCGTATTATTGTATATTCTCCATTATCTTTATTTAATGGATCTACAGTAGTACAAGTTACTGCAACATAACAAAGAATATTATAGCAATTTGATTTTTCTATGTCATCTTATGATATAAAAATGGAACTTTCAATTTCAATTTTATCATTTAAAGACTAAACTAAAGAATCATCATCATTGATAGGAAATTCTTCTAAAGTTGGTGGATTCAATTATTTAATATTGGCTAAAATTCTAATATTAGCTGTTATAGAAAATATTGCTATTTCTGTTTCTTCAGTTAATAGAAATGTGAAAAAATCAAATTGATTTGTGATTGTTTTAGTAATAGGTTCTTCATTATAGAGTTTAATTATTGAGGATTCTTTTGAGATCAATAAGGAAAATTAAGTATCTTCTCTTGATTAAACTTCAATAACAATTAAACATGAAACAATCTCTTCAGTCTTTTTGCAATTTTCATATTTAATTTAATTAGCACTTAATATCATATTTTAATCTTTCATAATAATAATACGATCTTCAATATAAATAGTGGCTGATAAAATAGTTTCATCGATATTCTAAACATGAAAATTGATATATATATCTTCTTTTTTATATAAGTTTACAAAGAAAGTTTATTTATCAGACTTTTCTATGAAACCTTAATAGTTATCTCCAATAACTAATTCAATAGGTTGAGAACTAACTCTAAAATTAATTGAATATGAGTAAAGAGGATAAGTAGTTGATTGATTAGTTTCAACTCTAATAAATAAATATTATGGATTATTTTAGAATTCATTATTAATTATTAAATATTTTGATCCAGTTTGAATAGCTTTTTTAAGATCAATTTCTGGATGATCAAATGCATAAATCTTAAATTAACCAGAATTGATTCTTAAAAATATTTTTATCTGATTATGAATTAATGAATTTTCATTATTATATCCACTTAGATCAATTTTGAAAAGTTAAACATCATATTTATAAACAGTAACAATTTCTTATGGTTAACCTTCAATTAATTATATATATTAATGGGCATATTTACCAATAGTTCCCCAATCTTCTTATTTTCTAAATACTATTGCAGTAATAATATATTAACTAGCTGTTTCTCCATAGACACCAATATATATAGTTCCATTAATAGTTTCTAAATCAGTTTAATCATCATAAGTTATTAAATTTTAAACACCTTAACGATCATTATATTCTTCTGTTGGATATATATCAGTTTTTGATGAGTAAATCTTTGGTGATCCTTAAATAGGTGTTAATTAAATAAATAATCTTTAAATTTTATCATTATCATTCACTGTAAATTTATAATAGTTATAGAATTCATGAAATACAAATTATTTAATAGGAGTATTTTCTTTTAAAATTATAGTATCTTATTTTGTTGTTATTAAAATAGAATAAGTTAATTCATCTTCAACATTATTATTACCTGGAATAATCAAAATAGAATAGAAACACATATGTACATTATCATAGTTTTTACATATTACTGGTAGATAATCAAATATAATGATATCATTTCCTGGACTATTATATTTAATTTTTAATTTTACTTGAAAGAATAATAATATTAATTATCAGTAATATTATTAGTAAAATTCTGAGAAATAATTTATTTTTGTTCTTCTTCATTAAAATTACAACTCCAAAATTCATTACATGATTTTACAACAATATCAGCATCTCCTCTTATATTTCTAAGACTAACACTAACACTTTGTTTTTTATTACTTTTTATATAAAATTTATATTGATGAATTTTAGACTTACTCATTTTACTAAAAACAGGCTTGTTTAATTCAATAACCATTAAATCAGGATTCAACATCTGTGTTTTCAATTCAAATGTAGCTACTGATTATTTTGCTAAGATAGCTATATATACATAATATCCTTTAGCATTTAAACGATTCAAATCTTCATTTGTAATAATCAAATCATCTGTAACTCCATCATGTAGTTTCCAATGATAATCTTCTAATGATACTGGATTTTCATCAAGATTTACATACATTTCAGTATAACCTTTGAATGATATTAATTAAATATTCAAAATTAATTTTCCTAAATAGAATAACTCTTGATCAGCAGTAACATTAAGTACATAGAATGCATAATCATTTTCTTATATTACATCTTCAATGGATTCTCCAACATTAATAAACTTTGTTGATCCATATGTTCTTGTTTTTATATACATAATTGCTCCTGATTATGCTTCTATTAAAAGTGTATAAGTTTAATTTGCCTTAACATCATTAATCTTAAACTTTTATATTCCTAAGAATGTGTCTTATCCTTTAAAATTACATTTTTATGGTGTTGGTCTTTACATTCCTAAATTCATATAGGATTGAAAAGATTCTTACAAAATTTCAACATTTTTAACTTGTATTGATACTTCTAAATTTTAATTCTATTTAATTGGGTATTATTTTAACTAATTTATATTTATTCTAATTATTTCAGTCCAACTAGTATTATTAAATTTAAACTCCAAATCATCAGCTATTATTAATAAATAATATTTACAATTAGACATTATTAACTCTTCTTGATAAACAACTTTTAAATTATATCTACAATAATCTTCACAATAAACTGCCAAATAATAAGTCTTGTTTTCTGGCTCTGGAATCACACAGATATCTATAATCACATTTATCAATTTAATTACCCATTCCTTAAGAATTGCATTAAAATTCTGAATAATTTTTATTAGGTTTTTGATCCAAAGATGAAATGTATATATCAGGATTTCCTATTGTTGATTACTATTTCACAACTATTATAAGATCTTTATTTTTTATTGCGTTTTTTATATCAATTTGGTAATATTTGTAATTTTACTCACCTTGCCAAGGTATAATAGCACTATTAAAAAATATTTTGATTTTTTATACTCATTATATGTTTAACCTAATTCTAAACTCAAATATGCTAAGACTTAAGATGTCAAACAAAAAAAGGCAAACATCATTAATTAAATTATTACTCAATATTATTAAATATAAATCAATAATGAGTCTTATTTCTGCTCCAAAAAACTTGAAAACTCACATTTTTAATTTAATTGAATAGAACAAGACTTAAGAATTAATATAATTCATAGAAAATCATAGAGATTATATCTAAAATCTTGTTGCTCCAAACTATTGGACTCTTGGAATGTATGCAGTCAGATACAGTAATCATGAGCTAATTAAATATTTACATAAAAAAGATCTACTTCATGAACATCCATTATCTCAATATACTTTACTATAAACAGCTTTTTAAAATAATGATCTTGAGACTTTAAAATTATTATGTGATGAATTAGGAAAAGTAAATTGACTTGTAATCTTTAGGATATAAATAAACCTGCTTATCAATTCTCAGATCAAACATTTTTATAACATGCCCATAAATACAATTTAAATGATTTGATAGAGATATTCTGCTCAAGAGGAGCTTATTTTATTATTGAAAGAACATCCTCTTCCTTAATTGATTGTTATGCTAATAATCTCAAAGTGGAACATGATCAAACATGTGTTAAGTTTAAAAGTTACTATGATAATAGAGAAATACCTTAGACTTCTATATTATAATTGAAAAGAGATAAACTTACTCCAACTCATTATTTTAGATTCAAAAATATCTTATTACTATAATATCTATTATAGATGAAATACTTATAAGCTCCTGAAGGATATGGAGACTTTTTATTGAACTTTAATAGAATATTAGAGTATACAGCTCCAAGTAATATAATAGATTGAGTAAATTTAGATATTTATAAATTATATGTTATTTTCAGTTATTCAATCCATTTTAATCTTATAAAACTCACTTGGTTTACGATTTTCAATAAATTTGATCATCAAATAAGTATTCGATAAGAAGAACATAATACATTAAATAAAGATCATTGTAAATACATCATATCCTTATATCTCTAGATAATAGGATCCAAAATTCCATTGTACTTCCAAAATTAACCAGATAATTGATAACATCAATATTTCCTTATTATTCATCTTAGTATTTTGAAGTGCTAATGGAATTAATGCAATCCACCATACAAAATATTGAGCTGTTTATACCTTATTAAATACAACAAACCCAAGAGTTTAAATTAGCATTGCAAATGGTAAATCTCTATAATATTTCAAACCTGCTAAAATAACTATCAAAAATTAAGGTAAAAATGTTAATGTAGCTTGAGTTCTAGTAATAGATTCAAAACTTAAATATATCTGATAAAAATAAGGTGAAAAATTGTGTCTATTGTCCTTCCTTGTAAAATGATATAAATATGTTTAGAATAGGAAATCTTCATATATGAAATGGAATAATATTAATAATCCAATGAATAATCCACCTGATATTAATGCAAATTTCACTTTATTTTTACTAATTATACCCAAATATCTTAATATATCATTTATTTTACATTCTTTCTGGTTGATGAGAATCTATAAAGAAATATAATGGAATTGCATATATTATTGGATATATACGTAAATGAACCATAAATCCGTATATAAGTGCAGCCCATGTATACATCTCTTTCTTAAGTAAATATAACATAACATATATTAAAAGCACTATTATTGTATCAGATGATCCTCTAGTTGATACTTATATTGTCAGAGGATTAAAAATCCATAAATTCAATAAAAATGTAGATTTAACCATTTTTTACATAAAAACACATGCTAACATGTCTACAAAACTAAAGAGAATCTTTCCAAATGATGATATCCACACATTTGGTATTAAGATGTATGCTAAAATAGGTGAATATCTATAGGTATGTCTATCATAAGGTGAACCACCATCAACTACATATTATGCTCCATCAGAATACACCTACATATTAATACTAAAGATACTGAATAATCTATATCTGTGTATTTGAGATTGAAATATTTATCCTAGATCTCTGCATAAGCAATTAATCCTAGTCTTATTAATAGACCTATGATAATTGCAATTTTTGGACTCATAAATTAAATAATGTTTAAATTACGAACTCATACTGTCAAACAATGGCTACTCTAAAGATTTCGTAAATCTGTTAATAGTTAATATATTACAGATCCATAAGAAGAAGTATTTGATTATCATATTTAGGATTACAAATAAGAATTGGCGGAACTCTTTGCTAAATTTGATTAGGAAGGTAAAGGTAAGATTTAAAAATATGAATTGCTTACTCTTTTAAATAAATATGGAATCAATATCAATGAACAGGAATTAACATCTTATATCAAATAAGCTAATTCTAAAAGTGGTCGTTTTATAACAACCGAATAATTCAAATAATGTGTTTTATCTGAAAAATCAAAACTCTTTCTTAAAAAGCTTATACATAAATCAAATGAAAGAAACCCTTAAAATTACTATCCTACTGAAATTACTAAAGTCTTAAATTAAGTTCATTATTTAAGTGAAAGAAGCAGACTATTATCATAAATTGAAGACAAATAAATTCCAGTTGAATAAAAATTATAGCCTCTAAGTAAATTAATGAACCTTAGTCGTGAGATTACAATAACTGAACAGAGACCATAATCAAAATGTCCTTTGAGATTACCAAGAGCTAGGTCAACTTGTACTACAAATTATAACAGTTTATCTACTGCTATTACAGTGCCTTCTACATCCAATTCGAGATTTGGAGATAATCGTATATCTTTTAGAAAGCATCCAACATAATATTGTGAATGATATTAATTAATTAACTATATTTTTAGTGAAAATTCTATTTGTATCAGATACTAAAAATGATTATTCTGTTTGTTATCTATATTTTAAGTCATTAATTAATTGATCAAATTGATTAGTAAAATATATTACCATATCAATCATTAAAATAACAAACTCAAACATACAAAAGAGTAAATTAGATTCTTATTTTTATAAAAATCAAGTTTTTAATACTTGGATTCACTTTTTTATTTGATATTTATTTTATTTTAAATGAGTTTACCTAATCAATCTAAAAAACCTGATAGATTAATGAAAACATTATTTATATCATAGCCTATCATTTTTTAATCAAAAGGATTAAGTAAAAGTGATATGGTTATGGAGACTGGTTAAGATTTCATATTTACAAAACCTTCAGCATTTTAGACATTTGAAAGTTAGAGTTTATAAAAGTAAATGTATGGGATTGGATTAAATACAGGAAGATTTTTAGATAATCAAGAATAATTAAGATAGGATAAAACTAAAAAAAGAGTTTTAAAGCCAGGATAAATAAGTACATTAGAACCTTTGACCTAGAAATCATCTACTTAAAATATATTTTAAGGTAAAATATGTGTATTTTTCTTAGAGGCAGAAAATGAAGAACGCAAAAAATTCATTGATTATACAGGAGGTCCTCGATTTGAAAATGAAAAATAAGATAAATTGATTAAATACTCAGTAGTAGGATATTAATAATTTATGAAAACTCATTAAGAAAAATTAAAATTAGATTAAAAAAGGAAAAATAAATAATATACTAATAATGGTGCTACTGATGAATCTCTTATAGAGGAATAATAACCATTGAAAACAAGTTAATTTAGTGAGAAAATAATATAATAAAGCAGAAAAACACCTAAAAAAAATAGAGGAGATTAAAAATTTTTGAATAAGAGAGATTTAGTATAAATTATGAGAGATACTGAAAAGAGAATAAAAGAAGGGTAGAAAGAAATAGAGGAATAAGAAAGGAAATTACCTTAAAATGTAAGAAATGCAATTACAAGAGAAGAAAGAGCAATGAAAAAACATGAAGTTGTGAAAGCTTTATGGGAAAATGTTAATATATAAGTTTCCTCGAATTGTTTTCGTTAACCTGAAGAAACCATTATGGCTAGATCAGATTAATATAGAGAGAAAAATCAAATGGTATAAGCTTTAGAATTATGTAAAGGGGATGATGAGAAAAATAATAGTCGTTATTGGTATTTGAGATTAAGATGGTATGATCACAAAGATTCAAGACCTCCCTTTACTTTATTAACATAAAAGAATTCATAATAAAGTGAAAGGAAATTTGAAAATAGACTTACAAATAGATTTGTTACTGATACTGAAGCAGAACGATTATACTAATAATAATAATTTGTATTATCTGATATTTAATCTAATTTCAATGCCAAATTAATAGAAAATCCTTTTAAATAAGTTGAAACTGTTATATCAGAATAAAAATTAAAGTCATAAGAGAAATCATTGTCAAATTAATCTAATCTTTAGGATTCTCCAAAATCTAAATTATATTCAACTAAATTAGAATAGATGTATCATTAGAAATTGAAAGAGAAACCAAAAAAAAAGTTTGTTGATTGTTAAGATTATTTAAGTTTAATAGGTGAAAGCCAATATCAAAGAGAATTGAGAATGTTAAAAAGAGAGTAAATATAAGAATTCAAATTAGCAGAAATACCTAATGAAGAATAAGAAGTGATGATTAATACATGGAACTCTAAGAATTTGGCAAGATCAGGTGAGCAGATATTGTTTTGATTATAATATTTATTTTAACGAATTTATATATGTCTTCTATAGAAACTTAATAGGAATTATGCAAATTTTTTATATTAGTAGTAAATGGAATGAGGTATATATAATAATATAGTTAGAGACGATTAGAAAAGTGTTTAGAATTCATTTAAGAAATTACAGATAATAAATATATACCTCCTTTCTTTAAAAATTCAGTTTGTAGAATAGAGTAGCTTTAAGTTTACTTACAATCTTATGGGATAGATACATAAATTTATGAATTAAAAGACTTGATTGGAAGACTAGGAGGATTTGAAGATAGATTATTATTTAGTCAATTTTAGGATAGATATTTGAGATAATCTGGTAATATTGAGAAAAAAGAAGCAGAAATATCATTTTTAAGATTACTCTATGAAGAAATTTAATTAGAAAGATAGTTGGATGATCAAAGAGTAAGAATTTTTAAAAGATGGGATTATAATTTAGATATACTTTATAATAAATTATCTTCTGGAAGCAATTCTGTAGATTTTAATAAGATGAAAAAATTTTTTGTACGTATTAGATAGAATTTGATTGATGAAGAAATAAAAATATTATTAAAAAGAGTAGGTAATGGAGATGGTACTATAATGAGTTTAGATGATTTTAGATAGGCTTTAAAAACACAAAAATAAAGAGCTATGGATAAGATTTAAATTCCTATGATGAAAACTAGTATTGTATTTAATAAATAAATCAATAATACAAGTTATATGGATAGATTAAGAAGAAGATATAAACCTCTTTAAACAACATAATCTTTTATTTAAAAAGATGGTTGTCAAACTCCAAGAGCTAAAACACCAACACCTTGTCATAATACAGAGTTAAAACAAACAAGAACTAAAACACCTAATTAATTAACAGAATAAAAAGTATATATCAATGAAAGTAAAGAAATTAATACATTAATGTCTATATACTTAAATTAATAAAGATGCTTATAGAATGTATTGATGTAATTAGATGAAGTTACACTTTTAAAATCTCTGAATTCAATTGATTGGCATAAAGAATGGTAAACCTTTAGTGTTAATTCATAAGGTATAACTTATGAACATTTTATTAATATTCTAACATATTATGATTAGAGAAAGCCATTTAAAGACAAGATTAACATTATAGATTTACCAACTTCTGCTCTTACTGTAGCAGATAATCTTTTTTAATTATTAAGAGATTAAGAAAATCAATTATAAAAATCGAGGCTTTAATATTCAAAATAAGACTAAATTAATTCTTTAGATAAATATTTTGTAAAAGGATATATGGATGTATTAGATATTTTATAGATCTTATAAAAATGTACAATAACTAATGTCAGTTTATAAGATGCAGAATTAATAATTGCCAGATTTAATCAATTTAATGGAAATAAATAAATTACAAAAGAAGTATTTCTAAATACAATTACTTGATAAATAAAATATAATATAATTGCCTTAATACTTTCTTTATATTATTCAAAAGTAATCATTGAATATAGAATCTAAAAGTTATTTTTATTCTTATTAAAATTAAAATCATACTTAAGTCATTAAGTAAATTTAATTAAAATAAATATAAGGAGATTTGTGTTTTTTTTATTTCTTATATTTGTTAAGTCATTCTTTCTTATATAAATTCATTAATATAAAATAAATTATTTTAATGGAATCTAACTCCTTGGATTTTAAAATAAATATATAACCCAAAAGTATAACTGAGCATGTAGAGCCAGATGTTGATTTAACAGTTGATAAATATGATGCTGTCTATTAAAATACTTAATAGGAAGAGGAAGTAGAAGCAGCTCATGTATATATTTATATCTAATATTTTCATTAGAAAGATTTACTAATATAAGAATATGATATCACTTAAGCAGCTCATCCATATTATTGTGTTGCTGCATTAGCATTAACTTCAATTCCAGGATTAACTTTTATTCTTTTACAAGATGTTATACATGCTTATCCTTTAGTTATTATACTCTAATTAGTTTAATTTTTAGTACTAAAGAATTATTTGGGTTTAAAATTGATTGGGTTACGTTGGTGGATTGAGATGGATATTAAAGGTGAATAAAAATGGATGTTCTAAACTTAATCATAAGAATAATCAAATAAAGTTGATAAATATTTCTTTTGGGCCTGTCTCATATATGGAACACTCTTTTGGTGTCTTATGTGTCTTGGAGACTTTTTTGGAGTCAAAATATTCTGGGTATTATGATAAATGGATTATAGTTACCATTACCAATCATATGTTTAGTTTTGTCTTTAACTAATTTATAAGGATTTTACAAATGTAGAGGAGAGCATAAGAAGAAATTATAATAATTGAAAAGAGAAATGGCTAAAGGTGGAATGAATATAGTGGGAATGATTATGAAATGATATTAAATTGTTATTTTAATATTTTTGAATTAAATATGATTGAGAGATAGTGTAGAAAATTTAAATAAATTATATAATAACAAATTATATATATTTAGAATTATAACAATAATATTAAAATATAGGTTTCAAATTGCATGTCCTGAACATACCCAATTCTAAGGAGCGGCTATAGATTCAAGGGCATTTACATTAGTGCATTAACAATTATATGCATTATATTAGTTATCGTCTATTAAATACTTAGATAAAATGGACATATTATTAAAATAGTTTCTGAATATTAAATAATCTACATCTTTGTTCCATTTTTAGTTAATATGACATTTAACTTACAGATCACATTTTAGACATCTAAGATTTGTGCACATACGAAATTATTATTGATTTCCAATTTGTGGTTATAAACATTTTCTTTTTTATTATTAACTTTAATTTGTCTATGGTTATTGTTAATAGTTTTAAGATGTAATTGGTGTATTTTATGGTTTATCCATAACTGAATTGATGTCATTTATTAATTCGTCTAAATCATCATCAAACTTATTATTTATCATTTTGATTTTGTTTATAATATATATTATATTTTTTTATTTGATAACCATTATGAGATAACGAAGTGGTTAGATATTGTCACCAGCTAGAGTGATTCAAAACTTTTAGATGAGTACTAAGAATTACACTAGTAAAAATGCATCCTAATCTCCTTTAAAATTTATTCAAAGGAATTTATCACAAATGATATTGAAGGACTTAGTAAAATAAGATTAAAGTCGTAAAGTGAATCATGGAAGTATTACTGATAGAGTACATAGTCAATAACGATCCAACTCAAAAGATAAAATTAAACCTTAATCAAAATAAGCAAAAGTTCCAACTGAAACCAACCTTCCTTTTTAATAATTATCCAAAGGAATCAATTTGATTTTGAACCAAAAATTAACAAATAAAAATAAATTGATTTTAGAAAAAGGTTCTATGACTCGTAGAAATAGTGTTGAAGATTTATTAACCAATTCAGTTTAGATAGGAGGTAAATCTTCATCAATAGACAAACTATCAAAATCAGAAATTTTGATTTATGTTCATTATTCATCAGAACTTACTTAAAATTTTAAATTCTGTGCTAATATAACTACAGACAAAGTTCTAAATGCTCTAAAAAATAAAACTGGAAACTATTAAGTTGTAGGATTTGCAACTTTAGATGACAATATTGGATTTGATTATTATCTCACAATACCTTTTTTACCATTGACTCATATGGTAGGTAAAACTATTCGTATGAAACCAATTATTGGTATATCACCTCCAAAACAATTAAATTTAAGTTGTTTCTTATTTTTACATGTAATAGGGAGAGGGGGATTCTCAACAGTTATATTATCTCGATCCCTAATTGATGGAAGTTTTATAGCACTGAAATTAATTAGTAAAACCTTTGTAGTATAAAATGAAAAACAAGATTTAGTTTAAAATGAAAGAGATATATTAATTGAAACTACAAATAAAGGTTCCTTATTTACATCCAAAATTGAATTTGCATTTGAAACTAAAAATTGGATCATTTTTGGTATAGAATTTTGTCCTGGAGGAGAAATGTTTAGTTATATGAAAAGAGTTTAAAAGATGACTGAATCTTAAGCTAGATTCTATATAACAGAAGTATGTTTAGCTTTAGGATTTCTACATCATTAATAAATTATTTATAGAGATTTAAAACCAGAAAATGTTCTTATAGATATTACAGGACATATTCAATTAGCTGATTTTGGACTAGCTAGACCAAATATGCAACCTGAATAAAATGCTTATTCCTTTTGTGGTTCTCCAGAATATATGGCTCCTGAAATGTTTCAAAATGATGGTCACAATAATATGGTTGATTATTATTGTTTAGGAGCTTTGCTATATGAATTTGTTACAGGACTACCTCCATTCTATTGTGAAGACAAGAATATCATTTATACTAGATTACTTAATGAATAAGTTTAATTCCCAAAGAAATTAAGTCCTGAAGTTAAGGATTTAATTAAATTACTTATGATTAAAGATCCAAATAAAAGATTAGGATCTAAAAATGGAGTTGATGATATATTAGCACATCCTTGGTTTTAGGATATAGATATTGCAAAATACATTTAAAAATAGATTGATCCTCCTCATATTCCTGATCTAACAAAATTGTAATTTAAATCACCAACTACAAATGATAGAATTTTATTTGAATAATTAAATAGAGAATAAAAATTAATCAATCAATTTAAACCTATGTTTCAGACTTAATTCTTTTATCAATAAAAAAGATATCAATGTTATGAATTTGATAAAAATTCATCTACATAGGTGACAAAAGATACTATAGATTCAATGGTGAGAAAAAGAACAAAAAATTCTCAAAATAGTTAATAATCCTTATTATCCCAATAATCATAGTCATAATTATCCTCAGTTTTATGTTCTAATGAAACCCTTAGAAATACTAAAAGTGTAACAAATTTAAAATTATATTAAAATTTATTAACTGAACCATCTAGAAAATGAGTTTATATTTATTGTAATATTTTCTCATAATACCAAATATTATTGATCTTTTGAAATCTCTTATTCATTTAATATAATCACTAATTTATCTTAATTTCCAAAATAACATATATAAGTTATTCATACATAATAAATTACAATGATATAATATTAAAATAATTGATATATAATATTTTTAAGTAAGAATAATATTAGTTAAATGATTATATATATATAAAAATGATAAATATAATCATATTCCAAATTTATTACAATTTATATATTTAGGAATATGTTTTTATTATTCCTTCTCATACTATATTTTATTAATTTAGAAATAAACTCATTATGTCGTGTAGTATAAGTCAGAAATAAGACTCTTTTAGTAACCAAGACACAATTGAAAAAGTAAGCGAAAGAATTTCTAAGAAAGAATAAATAGAAATGAAAAGATAATTAGATTTAATGATTAATAGAGTTAAAATGTTGGAAGTGTTTCGATAACGATTGTAACTTTTCTGAGTATTTAGATAAGGGAAACAGATGTAAAGTGAAATAAAAAATGAATAGGTAAATAGTATTAGAAATCAGTATAATGAATACTTGAAGTAGGTATTTTATAAGTTATCTATTTAGCAAAGTAAACATAAAGAATCTAGGGAATAGTCTCTTGAACTTTTTAGAGAAAAAACTAAGCTCTTAAAATAATAACAATTAAATCTTAAAGTTTAAATTCGATAAAGTGTACAGCAATAGAAGAAGGAATAATTTGAGTTAATGAAAAAGCAATCCTTAAATCATGATAAAGTTATCATTCTCTAAAAGGAAAGATCAAAAACATACAATCTAGAGAAGAAATAAAAGGTTCAACAATATGAATAGTAACAATAATTACACTTAGCTCTGTACAAATAATAAAAATAAGATTAATTTAAATCTTAACATAAGAAAGCAGTCCTTGATAGCTTTAGATAAAAGGCTTAGGACTTCATGAAAATACAATAATTATGGGAACAAGAATAAGATATTCTAGATTAATTAAATGAGTCTTATCATTCAAGATTGACTTCTTCAATGATAAAGAACTGAATATCGCTCGTATTTGTAAATTTTATTTATAATATTATTATTAATGGAAGAAATTCTTGAAATTGTTCCCAATACGATAAAATTCGATTATTAAAGTAGAGAATAAACTATCTCTATCTAAAATTTGACTCTTCATTATATCCAAGTTAGAATTGTTTCCCCTAATCCTACTTTATTTGCAATCATACCTAATATTTGTAAATATATATAATATATCATTATTATATAGTTTCTATTGAACCTTGTACAACTACAGATGTGATTGTCAAATTAAATTTAGATTTTAAAATGAACTTTTATTCACTTATAATGAACAGAAAGCTAACTATATTTTATTATGATGTTGACGATGTTGAAGAATTAGGTAAAAATGATATGGATTGGCATAAATTACCTTTTAATTTTTTAGGGAGAAGTGAAATAAATGTTGATTATAATACAAATTGTGACAAATATTAAATACTTAAATCAGAGAAGTAAAAAAAGTTTATGGAAAGTGTTTAAATATTTTAAGCTTTGTTTATAAAATAAAAAAATATATCTTTGAATGATGAATACAAAAAGATTTTAATTAATAAATATCTAGAATTGCATAATAAATATCAAACTTATAAAATTATGGAAGATAGCATAATTTTCATTGGTAATAATTTAGATTTAGAAAACAAAATTTATTGTATAGAAAATCAATCATAAATTTATTATGTTTCTTCATACAAACCAACCTATTTATATCATGCTTTTCCTTAATATCCAATTGAACCACTTAGTCCATAAAGCCAAAGGAAGAAAAGTTCCTAATAACCTTAATAAATATAAGAACCTATAAAATTAACCAAGAGTGAAAGTGATACTCCTAATTAACATTCCTTAATTGATTTATCTCCAGTCAAATAATTTTTCTCTGTATTCACATCTTCCAAATAAAAACATGATGAGACTACTGAGTAATAAATTTAAGTTGAATAACCAATTATTTAGCCTTAACTTATTGAATCATAAAAAACATAGTAATAATAATACGAAACAAGGGAATAATAATAATAAGTAACAAGATAAAATGATAGTATTAACACAAAAGAAGATAAATAAAAAATAGAATAATAATAATAGTCATCATCACAATAATAGTAATAGTAATAATAATAATAATAATAATAATAATAATAATAATAATAGTAACCATAATAATAATAATAACAATAATAATAATAGTAATAATAACAATAATAATAATAATAATAACAATAATAATAATAATAATAATAATAATAATAATAATAATAATAATAATAATAATAATAATAATAACAAGCTTAAAAATAATAACCTCAACAAGCAAAGACTTAATAAAAATTTTATAATCAAGAAGCAAGCGTACCTGAAAC